GTAATATAGGCGGACTACGATGGCAAGCCTAAAAGCCTTTCTCGCTCTATTCCCCGCTCGACAACGTCGCGTCTTATTTTAGTATAGCGCCCATATAAATATGGCGTAGCCATTCTAAAACTATGTTAACGGTATTTTATTTAGCATTGACTAAGGTATAGAAGTACCCCGACATCCGACATCCTAGTATATGAGTCTTATCGTTCTTATAATACTTTATAATTTATATAAAGAAAGAAGCGAAAAAGTATAAGGTATATCTATAAGGTAGAGAACTATAATTAATAATAACGAATATCTTTTTAATAGATAGTTAAGCTCGTATTATTAAGTCTTATACTTTATATACTTATATTAGCGCTAAATATAATTTAGTTTAAAATTACGATCTAATTATATAGAAATATATTATACTTAATATAGATTACTCTAACGCTAAGATTACTTTAATATTAATTTTCTTAATTATTCTATCTACTTACTCACATATATATTTATTTAAAACTACTATAATCTATTTTAATCTTTTTAATTACTTTAATCTTAATTAACTTTCTAATTCTTTATATAATAGTCTTAAATTACTTAATATTCTTATTTCTAAATATATTATATATTCGAGACTCTTTAATATTTACTCACTTTAAAGCTCTTAAAGTTCTTTTAATTTTTATTTTCTTACGTATAATAATCTAAGATCGAGTCTAATAAGAATAATAATATCTCTCTTTTAAACTATCGTATTAGTTTTACTTTTCGAATTATTCGAACTATTATAGCTCGTTAAATAATATTTAATTCTCGCTTAACGAGTAGACTAAAAAAAAATTATAACTTTTATAAACATCGAACGATAATAAGATATTCTCGATCTATCGAGCCGTTATATATATTAATAAAGAATCTATTTTTTAAAATCTATAAGCGCGTAAGAGTAACTATCTTTAAGAGAGATTTTATTATAACGATATAGAAGCTAATTATAGAGTACGTTAAATTAAGTAATTAATCGAGTAACTTTAAACTTTATTTCGAGAGTAATAGAGACTAAGATCTATTAAATATATTCTTAAATAACGATATATAAGTTAGATATCGTTATAATTATAGTAGATAGATAAGAGATAAATAAATTAAGAAATTAAGAAAATTAATATTAGAGTAGCCTTAGCGTTAAGATAGCTTATATTAAGTATAGCGTATTTTCATATAATTATCTATTTAATATATAATCTTTAATAGTTAGATAATTATCTAAGTAAGTATAAGAAGATCGAGACTCGTATTAATATCGAAGACTAATTTTTAATAAGCGAAAAAGTATAAGATATATCTATGAGATAAAGAATTATAACTAATAATAATAACGAATATCTTTTTAATAGATAGTTGAGCTCGTATTACTAAGTCTCGTACTTTATATACTTATATTAACGTTAAATATAATCGTATTTAAAATTATAATCTATTTATTTAACATATAATCTTTAATAGTTAAATATTTATCTAAGTAAATATAAGAAGATCGAGACTCGTATTAACATCGAAGGTTAATTTTCAATAAGCGAAAAAGTATAAGATATATCTATGAGGTGGAGAACTATAATTAATAATAACGAATATCTTTTTAATAGATAATTGAGCTCGTATTATTAAGTCTTATACTTTATATACTTATATTAGCGTTAAATATAATTTAGTTTAAAATTACGATCTATCTATTAATATATATAAAAGAATAAGATAGAGCTAAGCTTAAAAATCTTAAATTTATATATATAGCTAATTATTAATTCGAGGTTATTACGTCTTTTAGCTAGACTAACTAAGTTAACTCGCTAGCTCTCTTAAGCTCCCTTATTAAAAATTTATATATAAAAGTTTTATACTCTAAAATAACCAGCTTTCTATAAATGCTATTTCTTTATAATTTTATAAATTATAGAACTTAATATACGCTTTCTAACGATATAAAAATAATAAAGTTTAATCTACTATTAATAAATTAAATTAATATTTAAATATTATAGTTATATTAAACGCGTTCGAAATTAAATAATAATTCTTTTATCTATTTATTTATATAACTATTATTCTTTTATTACTCTATTAATTCTATTAATTTCATTAATATAAATATAATCGTTCTCGATACCCCTCGCGGAAACGTTACTAAATATTTCAGGTATATATACCCCTTTTACCTACCTCTTAGAGTCTCTATTAACGCGAATTCGTTATTACTAGTAATCGAGGCTATAAGCGAGTCTAATAGCTATCTACTATTGCTTATAAACGCGTTAAAAAACTCTTAAAAAAGAGCCCGAACGGATTTATAGCCATCGTTCTCTTCTATATACTCGACTAGTCGCTTAATTAATATTATCTACTCTATTAGCTCAGTAATTCACTTAATTAGATCGTTAGTTAGTTACTTAGTTATTTACTCAGTTAGCCACTCAGCTAATTACTTAGTCTATTATCTCTACTATATTAAGAAGTAAAAGGAGAAACTATAATAGGTAAATTCGAAGAATACTGCGGAGAAATCAAGCGGTAATAAGGTTCTTAGCACCAAGAATACGGCTTAGCTCTCCAAGATCCCACATTATATGCTCTCCACGGTTCTATATTAAATCATTACTTAGTAAGCGGAGAACATTACTGCAACTTAGCCTATTATCCCTACTGCATTAAGGAGTAAGAGAAGAAACTATAACAGACAAATGTGGAGAACACTGCGGAGAACACTATGGAGAACACTGCGGAGAAATCAAGCGGCAACAAGGCCCCCAGCACCAAGAACACGGCTCAGCTCTCCAAGATCCCACATCATATGCTCTCCACGGTTCCACATCAAATCATTACTCAGTAAGCGGAGAACACCACTGCAACTTAGCCTATCATCCCCACTGTATTAAGAAGTAAGAGGAGGAACTATAACAGGCAAATGCGGAGAATACTGCGGAGAAACTAAGCGGTAACAAGGCCCCCAGCACCAAGAACACGGCTTAGCTCTCCAAGATCCCATATCATATGCTCTCCACGGTTCCATATCAAATCATCACTTAGTAAGCGAAGAACACCACTATAACTTAGTCTATTATCCTCACTACATTAAGGAGTAAGAGGAGGAACTATAACAGGCAAATGCGGAGAACACTGCGGAGAAACCAAGCGGTAATAAGGTCATTATCGTCAAGAACACGGCTCAGCTCTCCAAGATCCCACATCATATCAGTTATCCACTCAGTCAGCTACTCAGCTAGCCACTCAGTCTGATACTCTATAAGAGAAGGAGTAAGAGAAGGAACTATAATAGGCAAATGCGGAGAACACTGCGAAGAAACCAAGCGGCAACAAGGCCCCCAGCACCAAGAACACGGCTCAGCTCTCTAAGATCCCACGTTATATACTCTCCAATGCATATTTAAACGAATTGAAATCATCCGATGTCTACAGCTATTTCATTATTCGACAAATTTCACTGCGGCAGAAGATATTGTGAGATTCACACTACTAATTAGCACGTTGTCTCCATTTCTTTCCGATATTTCGATACTTCTTGCTATAAGAACATGGCCTTTCTCTATTTTTTGTAGGCAATTATTACGGTTACCTTCTAATTAGGCCTTAGCGCCCCCCACATATATGCCTTATATCATAAAGATAAAATAAATTTTATAGGGGGAAAAAAATTAAAAGAAAAAAAAAAAAAAAAAAAAAAAAAAATTTATTTTAATGGAAGAAAAAAAAAAAAAAAAAAAAAAAAAAAAAAAAAAAAAAAAAAAAAAAAAAAAAAAAAAAAAAAAAAAAAAAAAAATAAAAAACTTTAATATACCTTCCTAAGTGGGCATGAGAAGGCCAAGGGGCGCATGAGAAGGCCGGGGCCCGCACCAACATTGAAGGCCAATTTCCAACATGTTGATTGTTGACCTCTCTCATCGTTAAGCCATAGATGATAGAGGAGGGTTGTTATTTTTATGCCGCCCGGGAACTAAAAATTATCTCAATACCTTAGGTAGTACTTACTTTGAACCTTACCAAACAACACTCGCAAACATTATTGTTTCACCATCTCATACCCCTTGTATCCGTCGAAACGGTTACGAGCCCACCAATTGCATCACTTCTGTATCTCTTCTTTTCAGCATGGGTGCTCAATAAACCAGTCCAGTATGCCGTACCATGGTGATAGCCACCTTACACTGCATGTTGGCCTTCTTGTTTGCTTTTTCATTTGCGTCCAGAAAGAAGAATCATCACCCACTATCCTTAGGCATCTGTAGGAATGCTCATACATAATACAGTCGCGAAGTCTCACTGTCAGGCGCTGCTGCTAGAGTGTACTACCCTGCTGTCTTCGCTCGATAGGATCACAGTCATGCAGTGAGAGCCTCCAACACGACGTTCGTATCCGAGCTTTTAGCCTGTTTTACTTCAACCACCAGACTTCCCCGGAAAAGCCAACTTAATGGTTAGCATCTTATTGACAGCAACACGCATGGTGTCGGCGGCTTGTCCATCTACATATGCACAATGCCCAGCCTGCGAGGAAGCCTCACCTGCTATGTGGCGCCTCGTGTTTGGAAGCATATGGCGCATCTTCGACATAAAGCTGCCTGGCATCGCCCTCACCCATGACTTGGTCGTTTTTACAGCGATCGCTCCACAGTCTCCAAAACAATAATCCGTCTCTACCATCAAGCCTTGGCTCCACTTACCATGAATTACTTTACAATAGCTACAGCAACCGTCATTGCTCAACTCGGGCTTGTAGCAAGCTCCCCGTGGGCCCCGTACCCTCCTGGAAACACGGGGCAATGCGTTGTTGAGCCGCAACCCGGCTATCATTTCACCGTGAGTAACAATAACCGCATTTCTTCCAGTCCTGTCTCCGTGATCTGACAAATAAATCTGCCCAGGCCTTACAAATCTGCACCACTGGCACTAAATATACGACTGGGCGAAAGAGATAAGCGTTTCGGAATGGAGAAACGATGAGTACTTATTACATGAATGGCTCGCTATACTCGGCCTTCCTCACGGCAGGCAGCGATCCCACTGTAGCGGTTCCGCAGCCCTGGGATTCTGGCTTTTGGATCAATACAATGCAATACGGAGTATACTTGTCGCCAGGAAACCAACCAGACCAGTTTTATCCTCCCACATTTGATTTCGACATCAACACATGCACACAGTATGCATGTCAAGATGACCAGCCCTGCGCGTAGGTACTCGCCTTGTTCCACTGTGCCAGGCCCTGTAGTTAGTTAACGTTCATCATTAGATTTTGGGGTAATGCCGGTTCACCTTGGGTTCCGTTTGACAGTTCAAACTCTCCGGGTGCTTTCACGTGGTGGAACGATACTCACCAAAATAATTACGGGCCCGGCAGTGGCTACACCCTCCTCGACTACCTGAGCCAGGAGCAAACCTTGAACGAGCGTGGCACCACCAACACATGGTTCGACTGCAAGCGAGCCACTCAACCTCCCTGTACTCATGTCGCCGGCATCGTCGTCAACTACCTCTACGACTGCGTCGCAACGGCCCCTACTACCCTGCCCGCACCCGGAGGTAATGAATACAATTCCGGCCTCAACAATCATCCGTGGGGCTACGCGGTTGTGGCAGGGGAACAATGGCGCTATTGGGATACTCCTGGAAGCCGTCAAACTGTACTACAAGGATTCTGACATCAGGGCCCTGACCACTCAACCTATATACTGCAATGATAATGGCGGCCCCGACATCTGTGTCTTCTACCGAGGCGTCGCTACCGGCAACGGATCCACAACATATGATTTGCTGAACAAAATGCACAGTGTTCTGGGTGGCAACTCTTGTGGGAGCATAGGTGTCGAATATCCAGCGTATAATGTCGAAGCGTATGGCTTTCTGACCGTCGGCCAAAAGGGCCAGGACTGTCTCTCCCCCGACCATTAAATTACCCTTAACAATTTCGAGGGAACAACCATGACCGCTTGGGCTTGCCAGGGTTTTCCATCTTCTTGAAAGCCTCGCCAGCACTCGTAAGTAGACTCGCACTCGCCTTGTCGCTTTGACGCCACCGACAGCATCATAGCCCTGTTCGCAGCCAGTCGTCAACCCATCTTGTTCAGCTCTCGTAACGGCTTTGTCTTTCTCCGTCAAATTTGTTTGTGATAAGCAAGTAGCTACGGAAACCAATTTCGCCCTACGTACATACAAGTTGATAACCCCATATGGAAAAAAATTGATCCACGCCTGCTCCCCACCAAACCGCGCCCGTGCTTTGCATCTTTCCCCCTCCCATTCACTTCCCAGTCCGATTCCGTACAGCGATCCGCGTACCGTCCAAATCTCATCACCCGTCTCGTCCGTTGTCATCCATGCCAATCACACCTCCAGTCGCCACATCCGCATTCTACTTTCCCATGCTGGCTCGCGGGGTAAATACCACAGTATCGAGATTGTCGCACCCCAACCCACCCAAATTCAACACCCCCGACTCCTAACATTACGACCGCTCCAGTCCGCTAGCATCGCGTTTGGATCTCGTATCTCGTTCCCGTTTCCTTCTCCTTCTTTTTCCGACACTTTCGCGTACGTCGAGGGGGATGGTAGAGGGTCTAGTACCTTACCTAGGACCGGATTTCGCGTCGACATCACCGCCGCGAGCGAACAAGCTGGGACGCGATGATGGATGGAGTCATGGGAGAGATGGGGAATCAGATTACGGCGGTAGGTGTTGCATTTAGGGGTAAAGTAGGTGGCTGGGCCACGGACTCTTCACACAACTTCTCCGCCCTGTCATCATGCTACTTTTGAGTGCCCGAAGCCTTTTCATCCGTTCATCTACACGATCGATCAATCAGACCCACTCTACCACCCAGACGCCTGAGTAGTGACCGGCGCCGAGCTGAACAGCCGCGGTCCGAGACGATCGTACAACACGGCCTTGTTCATCATGGGGTTAAAAAAGGTCCGCTAGTTTTTTCGATCCTTCGTTCCATTCCGAGTCTTCTGATTATCCAAGCTTAGTCGATTTCCGTGAACGAGGAGCGACCGGGTAGAGAAGGGTTCGGAAAGATGAAATAAAGCGCACTGTCGGAACGTTGATAGTAATGAATGAATGAATGAATGAATGGTGCATGTATGAGCCAGGAGAAATACTTTGTCCCGTCGATGTGTAAAAGGCAAGCACACTTATTGAGACTCAGCTCGACTAGTTGCACGACAGCTGATCAGCCGTTGGCACTGATTTTTTTTGGGGACTGGGTAGGATTACCTCGATCTGGAACAAAAGATGACGTCTCTTCAGGTTTCTGTGTGTAGACTGAGCCATACTTTGATTGTTCCCTCGATTGGTCAGGAGAAAGTAATGCGTATACCGGTACTTAAACATTTACACCACTACACTACCCCGGATTTTAGACCACTTTTTTAGGGGTTTAGACCATTTTTTTCAGGTGGATTTTTCGGTGGGAAAATAAGCGATTTGCCACCAACAGTTGGTGGCAAATCGCTGAAATTCCCACGACCTGACAATAATGCTACCCTGGGGTGTGTGTGTGTGTGTGTGTAATTCCTACATCCTTCCTACCGTCCTTTCCGATCACGCCGTCGCGGAACCCTACCCCCCCCCTTAACCCTAACCCTAGCCCTTACACGGTTTTCTCGGGTAATGACTAAGCGGATTTATCAGCCTATTTGGTAGTGGGGGTATTCAGACCCATCCATTTTGTCATAGCTGAAAGTCTGAATATTCCACGATTCCACAGCAAAAAAAAAAGTGGTCTGAAACCCCCTTATATATCGATATACACACTAGCATAGAGGATAGACATAGAAGGCCAGGAACGTTAAAAGCAGTGAGGGGGTCTGGTGAATTGAAGTTCAGGAATGGACTTCGAGAGTGCGGAAAACGGCTGCGGCCAATCCCGATTCTGGTGAGCTTTCCACATTTCTCATGGCTTACAAGTCACTTTTTTTGCTGGCTACTCACCACACCCTCGTACCCACAAATTTCTGATTTATAACAGACTGCATGTACTTGATGAATAGGTAATGAGTCTCGCTCCCTAAAGGGATGGAATGACCGCAGGCATGCCCGTCCTCGGCCATTCAAGTATACACTCCTATAACACCACCGCTGAAGAATACAGAACAATAGAAAATCAAAAGCAAAGTCTCCAACACTTGCCACCTTGCCTAATACCTCTTGAAATAGTCGCTACCGCCTTCAAGCTGTGCAGTAGGAATATCCGTCCCAATCCCACTGTCAGTAGGCGGCCCGAAAACGACCATCTCGCCGGCGTTGCTGATCTCCCCTTTCGCCGCTGCCGCATCCCCTTGGTATGCATCTCTTCCCAAGTAAAGCCCGTCTTCATCTTGCTCACCCTCCTCTTCATGTGCAGATTCGAGTTGCGACTCGTCTTCTCCATCTGCTGTTGTAGCTAAGTCCCTAGAACCAACGGTCCCTATCGTCGAGGCTGCGTAGCTGGTTCGTTTATCCTCGTCGGCTATGGTACTGCCGTCTCCATAGCTTCCAGTCCCGCTGTAGGTGCCCGAGTAGCTGGTCCGCCGTTCCGTTCCTGCTTCGCTCCCTTCGATATCCTCCTCATCTTCTTCATCAAGCACACTGTTCTCTTTATCCCCTTCATCTATGGGTTCGTCTGCATACATGCCCGGTGTCTTGGTTCCATTCCAGCTGGTCTTCCGCACTGGAAAGTTGGATTTGACGCTGTGGCTTCTCTTCAGTCCACCAGCGCCCCATCCGCTTGCTTTGGTAGTACCACCGGTGATGGAAGGATTGGCAAGGACCATTGATCGCTCACCCGCAGCGCCCTTGTTAGCGCCCAAAGTACTCAAGCTGAGGATTCGCCGATCAGCTTTAACGGATGACGTGCTCGTTCCTGATGCTCTTGGAGGTGGCCGTCTTTTTAAGGCCATGCCGACACCGCTGCTCACGGCGCTAATTGTTTTTGATGGTATGGTAGTTGCAACAGTGCTGGCTCTCGTGCTTGCTGTAGCGTTGCTAGCTGTTGAGACGACCCTCTTGAGGTTCATCTCCTTCAGGCTGGACTGTGGTCTAGACGTTGTGAGTAACGAACGAGAGTGATCCAAAACCCCATCAAGGATGCGTCGCTCAAGGCCATCCGCTCTAGCTTCCATGACATGTAGCTCTTCACGCCGGATTTGAAGTGCGGTCTCAAGTGAAGAAAGATCAGCCTGCATCTTTGATTTCAGCGCCGATAGCTCTTCCTTTTCCTTGAAGAGTTCTTGGACATCCTTGGCAAGGCCTTCCTTTTCGCCAGACAATCGGACGATGTCAGTTTCAACGTTTTCCTTTTGAGCAGTCCTTTTCTCTAAAGCTATGGCAATCTCTTCTGCCTCCTTTGCTCTCGAATTCTTGGTCTCTGTAGTGGCGGCTTTTTGAGCTGTGGCAAACGCATCGACCTGAGACGCCGTGAAGGCGACTTGTTCTCGGATTTGCTCAAGCATGGCGACCTCTGCAACAGACTGGCCTGCCTCCGTAGCATGCGCAACTAGTTGATCAAGCTTTGCGTGAACCCCCGTGTCATCGTACCTTTCAGTTATGGGAGCCTCTCTTATCATTTCTGGCAAAGGCAAAGAGGGGGCAATCGCGGGTATTGGTATGGCGGCTGGTATTGCTTTGACGCTCGTTTTGATCTCCTCTGCAGAAACCTTTGTCTGTTCATAATGCTGTCCTACGATACCCAGGACGTCTCGAATAGCTTCCAGTATTCTAGGCTGGTACTCTGATGCATGCGCCTGGACAGCTTCTACGCCTGTAAGCGTCTTGGAGATCTCTGCTCGCGTGGCTTGGTGCTCTGATTTGCCGTCCAGAGCAAGTAGGTCATCGAGTTTCAGGCCTACCTCTTCAACGCGGCTGAATACTGTCTTCGAGTCTTCACTCATCCGATCGCAGGACTCTGTGACAGTCGAGCCAAGTGCATCAACGAGTATTCTAAGGTCTTCAGCAGCGGTTTTCGTTGCGATGAGAGCTTGAGTCTGTTGGACATCTTTGCCTCCAAGGGCTCGCTCCTTCTCTTGGGCAGCCAGCTGAGCGTCATCATATTTGGTCATGATTTGGTCGAAACATTCATCGATTTTCATGTTCAGATCTTTGATAATGGCATCCTTGACCTCGATGTGTTTGTCCAGCAGAATGGTGTGATTTTGTTCGCTCTCTTCCTTACCACTTGCAGAGGCACTATGGACGGATTCAAATCCGCGCTTGACGGTCTCCAGGAGCTCCATTACTGTAGCGGTCGAGTCTGCAGACATGATGGTCTCGCCCACCATCTCCAATGCCTTGGCCAGGCCCTGCACACTGCGATGACTGTCATTGATCCGAGCCTTAAGCTCTTCTCGAACATCTTCGAATATCAATTTGACATCCTCGATTTTGTCAGCTATTCCACCGTGCTCGATCTTGCGTGCCTCAAAAGCTTGTGCGGTAAGTTCATGCTTTTCGTCGGCCTGCTGGGTGAAGTCCTGGATGAGACCATTGAGCACTTCCATGTCGGCTTTTGTTGGAAGAGTTTCGACATCGGGCAGCTCGAGTTCAGTAATTTGTGTCTTGGTGTCCATGCAAAGAGTCCCCAAAGCTTCAATATCGGTCTTGCTGACCCTATCGCCAGCGTCTTCGTCAGGGTTCCTCTCGCGCATGTCTTCAAGATCGGCGCGCACTTCTTTGAGTAAAGCTTCCAGAACGCCGATGTCTTTCTTTGAGGCGCCATCCGAGCCAAAGTCATGCACAGCATCCCGAGTCTCGTTGAGGATGGATTCGAGAGATTCGAAATGGGCTACCTTCGCCAGGCCTTCCGAGTCAGAGAATCCAATCTCGTCGATCCTGGCTTTCGTATTCCGCAAAAGGGTTTCTATGGCTTCCGTGTCATCCTTAGTGGCAGTGTTCTCGTTCTGGATTCGCCCCCCTTGAACAATGTCCGCGACAGAAGCTTGGACATCTCTCACCATGGCTTCTAGTCCTTCGATGTGCTCTTTAGCGATGGCTCCCTCGGCACTTTGATAGGCTGTTGGCGGTGGTGGCATACTATCCAGGGCCTCGACTTTAATCCTGAGCTGGGTGATCATCATCTCTAGATTTCCGATATCATTCCTACGCAAGCCTTCGGCTTCTGGATCGGCAACAACGACTTCACCATCCCTCGAACTAGAAAAACCGAGCTGTTCACTCTGAGCTGTATGCAGACGATCAAGGTCAGCCCTCACGTTAATTAGACCCTCTTTGAGTGTCTCGAGGATCTCATAGTTGACGGTCATGTCAAGGGGCTTGTTGACCATCCTCTCCACATCGCCACGAAGCCCATCGAGTCCGTCATTAAGAGCGTCAAGAAGCTCGCCAGTACCGGAGAAAACACTTTCGGGCCTCTCATGCTTTCTTTCAAACTCAGCACGAAGAGATTCATGGCCGTCACGGATAGCTTCCAGCACTTCCTCTCTGTCTGCTGACGCACCTCCTCTCACCAGCGTTGTGCCCAGCGTCTCGCGGAGATGCTCAAATTCATCCTTCATAACAGCAATGGTTTCAGCTGTAGCCTCAGGGTTCTGCTCTAGCGGTATTTTGTTTGGGATCTGTGCCAGGCCTTCCCTAATGGTCTCTAGAATATCCTCCCGTTCAACGCCGCCACCGCCAGAGTGGACCATTGAAATTGCGATAGTCTGTCGAAGATGTTCGAATTCCTTTTCCATTGCGTCTAACATTTCTCCGCTATTGTTCTGCTCGACGGAACGAGGAGCATTAGCGATACTTGCCTCAAGATCCAACTTTAGATGATCCAAGCCACTTCTGATAGTTTCTATGATTTCATCTTTGCCGGTGACGTCGGCTGCGCGGTCGACGTAAGTCTCAATGTCTGCTCTGAGCACTTCGAGACCATCCTTCATGGCATCAAGTACTTGTTCAGTGTCACCACCGTTCGCGACAGAGTACTGTTTGAACTCGTCTCTCATGCCGTCAATGAGATCCTCCATCTTGTCTAGCACTTTCTCTCCGACTCCACCCATTGGCGTTGGAGCTCCCTCAAGACCGGCCTTGACAGCCTCGAACAGATCTTCTCGGTTGAACTCAATTTCTTTCGATATTGAGGCTTGGTTGGTGAGTCCTTCCTTGACAGCATCTAAAACATCATCACGTGTCATCTCTGGCTCTCTCACCACTCCCACATTCGAAGCCGGGAAATCGAAGGTTTCTAGGCACTCTCTCACTGTCATCAATATCTCCTCTCGGGTGATACTAGCTTCGGTGTCGACCGGGGGAGGCTGTTTGAAATCTTGCAAGCCTTCCCGGACAGCGTCAAGAACTTCATCATAGCTGGCACCGCCAAGGTCTTTCGCCTGCTCCCGAGGTTGGTACTGTTGCAATCCCTCTTTGAGGCATTGGAGGATCTCGTCACGCTCCAAGCCGAAATTTTGCAGTTCGATTTCTGGTTTGTAGGTTTCCCAAGCTTCGCGAACAGCCTCGAGAATCTCTTCTCGTTCAATGCCAGATTCAGGATGTTGCAAAGCAACCTGCTGCTGCAATGGGAACTCGCTCAACGCGTTTTTCACAGCTGTGTAAACCTCCTGACTGTCCACCGAGTGACGAGACATGATGGACGAAGAAGATTGTCGTCGCTTCTCTTTCATCAGGTTCTCCATATGATCTCTCAATGCCGCCAGGCCTTCTTGTACGATGTGAGCTATTTCCTCGCGGCCAGGTCCCTGGGCGTCATCTCGATTTGTCTGGCTTGTTGATTCTGCCTGGTCGAGCTTCCGAGCAATATCACGACCCATACCAAGTACTTCACCACGAAGTTCACGCACGTGTGCTTTGACCTCAGCAGTCATCCCACCACCTTCTGTGATACTGTCTTTCATCTTCTTTAACAGCTTCTGCATGTCCTCGTTGATAAAGCCTGCGGCTTTGGCGTTTTGCTGTGCCCTGGCAGTGGCGAGCTGTGGGGTGATCTGCTGGGGCGTAATATCACGCGACACTCTGCGTACGGGCTGAGGATCAAAATCGAGCGTAAGCTTCGGCGGTGAATTTTCAACACCATTACCGTTGTCTCTTCGAGGAACAAGTGCTCTGCTGCCGGTGCTGTCCTTAAGAAAAGTCAAGATTTCTTCCAACTTCTTAACAACGGTGGGATCTGATTCTTTAAACTTCTGCGCATGTTGAAGTTCTGACAAATTAGTTAATACCCGTTCCTGACCTTCTTTGGTACCCATTTCCCGTAGGATCTTCTCCAAGAGGGCTATGCTTGCAGCTCCTTCCATTTGATATGGGGAAGCAGATATCTCTCGATCGATTGAAGCCGCGAGAGCACTGTTGGGACTTGGTATCCTCGGAAGTGAGAAACTCTTCGACATGCCCTGTGGGGAGATGTAGGGTTTATTATCCAGGAGGTTGCCTGGACCTCGACTATAGCTACTAGCTGTACGCGAGCCATTGCCTGCTTCTTGGTCGAGAAGACGCGAAGACAAGTTGGAAACAAGGTCTCGAAGACTCTTACGAATATCTTCATCTCTAGAATTTGTGGCTTCCTTGAGGCTGATCAAATCCGTTGCATTGTCCTTGCTTCGTCGACTGAGCTGGGCCATTTCGCGCTGCAAATTTGTAGCGATGCTTGTCAGACTCAAGATCTGTGTAGAGATAGCATCGAAGTTCTGCGAACTCCGAATATTTGGAGTAGAGTTGTTAGTAATGTTGGAAAGAGAGGTGTCCGGCTCTTTTGGTGTAGGCAAATTTTGCAACGCAAGCATTGTTGCAGACGGAGGTGTGTTCTCGCCCAAAATGGCTTTTGGGGGAGGTCGTCGAAGGCTCGGGGTGTCTCGACCATTTGGTGTAGGTGTAGCCGTCCCTGACCGGGTAGGACTCCTTTCTGGAGATCGGTTCTCGAGATCGAAGCTTTGTGTCCGTGGCAATCGTTCCGGTGATCTCTCCGGTGACCTCGCGGGGGACCTGTCAAGAGATCCTAGCGCATCAACATAGCTGTTTCGTAGACCGCCGTTGGTGTTATGGAATGGCTGCAGGCGCTTGTTTGGTTGCCCCTTGATCAGTGACTTCTCTGGGGATCTGTTCGGCAACGGGTTGACTGTGTAAGCGCTTTCTCTGGCTTTTGCGGTCAAAGCTTCGGCAGCTGCAGCAATATTCTTGGAAGTGGTAGGTTTTGTTGCGGGGCTAGACCCGGGATTCAATGGGAGGGGAGGGGGTGCGCGATCCGGGTCAGAGCTATCCCACCTGAAGTTCGTAGGTTTGCCCGTCAGTCTCACAGAATACCATTGTTAGAGCGTGTAAGTGCCTACATAGGAACCGAAGCGCGACCAGAGTCAGATAATGAGGGGTGATGTCTCAGCACAAGCTCCCGGTCACGGGACTCTTCCCTGTCAATTGACGACATCTTTATCGAGGTGCTGGTAGCGAGGAATGTTGGGGGAAACCGCGAAATGTAGCTATTGAAGCATCATTCACATCGCGTTTCGGTTTTCAATGGTCTAGACACTGCCAGCGTTGCAGACTAGGTGGTGCTCGAAGCAGTATGTCTATACTGAAGAGCGACTACCCACGCCCTTTGCGACAGTAAACTCAAGAAAATTTGGTAAACAGCACAAAACGTAAACAATGGCTTGCCGCGACTTGGCAAGCGCGATCGGCTAAATCAGCCAGTCACGTGACCGAAGTGCGGGTAGGGCTTATTCGAAGCCCACACAGAATTTCGGCAATCACCAAACTCCATTTACAACAACTACGACCGTTAACAGCAACGATGAAGTGTGAGTCGTTATTAGAGGCCTTTCTGACAGCAAGTATTAACTGATTTATCCAATCTAGTTCTCAAGGTCGGCCGTGTGGCGATCATCACGCGGGGGAGGTACGCAGGAAAGAAGGTAGCCATCACTGCTAGCAGATCTGGCTCCTCGACGAGCGGATTAAGGTCTGACATTCTATGCTCTTAGGTCGTCATAATTCAGCCCCTAGATACCGGCTCCAAGACACATCCTTTTCCTCACGCCCTTGTCGCGGGCATCGAGCGCTACCCCTCCCAGATCACCCGCCGCATGTCAAAAGCTCGTCAAGCAAAACGCAGCAAGGTCAAACCCTTCATCAAGACCATCAATTACAACCATCTGATGCCTACACGATACACGCTGGAATTGGAGGGTCTGAAGGGCGTGGTGACGAATGATACATTCAAGGAGGTCAGTCAGAGGGAGGATGCGAAGAAGACGGTGAAGAAGGCGCTGGAGGAGAGATACACAAGCGGGAAGAACAGGTGGTTCTTTACTCCTTTGCGTAAGTCAAATCATGTTGTTTCGCTGCGGAGAGTAATATTGACGGCTCTCAAGGATTTTGAGCGAACAAGCATGGAGAGGTAGTCGCAGCTCGGGGATATGCTATAGAGATTAAGCATAGCAATGCATCTACGGGGCTCTCTGGAATACGATACTGCTCGATACACTGGCTAGTGATGCTTTGACTCTAATGACAATGATGCGAATACTTGTCCTGTCTTGAGTAGCTGAATCCAGGAACGCTGGAACGCCATTTCCGTGCTGACATGAACCTTCCTGAGCGTTGTTCTGAGAGAATTGCTTTTTCAAATCACATTAGCTTTGCCAGCCAACCACTAGGTCTCGTCGCACCGGATCTAGCCAACGTAACAAGGCCAGGTCTGGAAACAGATGTCTGAAAGTGCATAGCAATGTAGCATCCTATTTCTGTCAGATGACCAGAATTAATCACGGAATTCTTCTACACAGGATGGGCTTTTGGAATAAACGCTTGGCCAATCGGCTTAGTTCTGTGTAACAAGACATCACCCAGCATATCTACCTGCGGAAAAAACTTCTCTTCGTCAACGTATTTCACAAGTGAACTAATCATTCTATATTGCATAGAGATGCTGCAAACCATCGTCCAATATTCCGCTCTCGTCTTTCCACACACATTTGGGCGACTCGCGTACTGGTATCTTCTCCTATTTTACGACAATACCGGTTTGCTTGATCTTCAATACATGATTTTCGCAACACTACCATCTTGCATCTACTTCATCCATTACTTTGCTGCAGCTCGGGACTTTCGCGATGATGACGATGACGAAAGACTCCCAGAGGATCGACCTGGGGCATTCCGTATTATTCTGGGCTGTTTAAAATACTGGTTCTTGGTGTACAAAGCTTTCGACTTGCTAGCCGCGCTAGACGTCGTGCTCAGAGCGTCAGGATTCTGCGGCAAGGCCATTCTTGCCATAGACTTGTTCATGGAAAGCACCCTGGTTCTTCTGGCAAAGACGATTTTCTTCCTCTTTGTTAGTATTTCCGTCGGCGCAGCACTTGAGGGATTTCCCTTCGTACAATCCGTCATCCTCGATCTCCTGGAAGCATTCTTTGGAAGGATCGAGGTCCCTGCAGACGAAGCGTTTCACGAGGAATAAATCTTTGAAAAGGACGGATTCTTCTGAGGGAGACGGACTCCTTGAAGGGGACGGAACTTTGATGAGGACGTGGTCTTTGAGTAAACGATGTTCGTGCTTCTTATTGCAATCATCCAGCGGACTTCGTACGCCAGATGCTGACGAGAAACAGGATGCTGAAGGTTGACATCCCACTTAACGACACGTACATCTGGAATGCTTACTTTGTTCAGGCTCATACGATCGAGCCTGCATGTCATAATAAATACCTGGATTAGCATGGTACACGACTGCCCATCCGGGGAATTATCCCTGAGAAGCTTCGCGGGGTAATTGGGAGGGGTCGTCAGCCTCGATCTAAGTAATCACAGCTTCGTGATGTCCTCGTCGGGTATGTCGCCCTCCTTTGGCTGCTACTGAATTGAGTCTTACCTGGGCAGAAAGGAATATTCTTGAACACAAGAAGACACTGAGGATGACGATAAAGACAAAGTCGCTCAATGACAATACCTTACCGGACTTCAACGGTTATCATCGCCTTTGCCCCAAAGCGGGAGGCTCGAGGATACGGCCAGCAAGTTTTACACCATGTCGATTTTACAGCAACAACAGGCACAAATCGTTTGCGTTGACAGCCAGTGAGCAGCTAGCCACATCGCAATCCAACTGTTCAAGAGGTCAACCCGAGAGCGCCACTCAGGATTCAAGAGGTCCGGAAACCCTGACACGGAGGTCTCAGGCATCTCACTCTCATCCCAATGTTCAGGAGCCTAGCAGTCAGGCGCCTCACCATGCCGTCTCTGCCAGTCGCATAAGGTTCTCGGTGATCCCTAAGAGAATATCTCAGGTCGAATTTCCCGCTGGCCGCAGTGCACCTACCCCGCCCCCTCCTGGCCCGCCGCCTAAGCGAACGGCAGAAGACAGGCGAAGGTCGGAAGCTGTTCTGAAAACACCAGTTGGTTTATTGAGGAACTATGTCTCCACCAAGGTAATTGAGAAAATCAAGAAATCGCCATATTATGTACATGATGAGGATACGATCGTTCTCAGATGCCATCAGCATCAAAAACAAGAGCGAAATGAATCGCTATGTAACGGACAGCTTTTTCGCTTGCTTGAGAATGTTGAGAGTGAAATTAGGTACAGAGAGAGTATGGGCCAGATAAAGGACTCGCAGTGAGACAATACCCCGCTTGGGTCTAGTGAATCGATCATACTAACACGTTTTGACTTAGGACCGTGATCGTGTCTGAAAATGAGACAGAGGCGATGTCTTGGAACTTGAAGAAGTCTTTCAATATCAAGATGAGACAACGAAAGCGAAAAGCTAAGAAGGCAGAGAGCCTAAAAGCTTTAGAATCACCCGAAAACTAGAAAGAGGAGTGAAAACCACGGACGCTTTGCCGTCTTCAAACATGGGCTAATCCGTTCTTGACTAAGTAAAATAAAACGGGGCGACTGAACCCGGCACCAAAAATTTTCTACCCATTTGGACTACTACATCCCATCTCATGTACACACGTCAGCTGCATACTATCTCACGCACGCTCCACATTCCTAGTTATGGAGGTAGGTGTCAGAGGTGCCAGTGCAAGGCATATACTGCTTGGAGGTCTTGAATGTCCAGTCAACAGGAGGACGGTAAGACCAACATACACTAACGACTCGCCCACGCTGCAATACACCGTATATAGTCATCTTCGCGGTTTACACATCTAGCCTACAGCGATGCCCACCGATGTGAGAGCCGGCCAAATGCGACACGTAGCCCTCAATCAGTCCTGCTTGTCTAGACACTTTCGATCCAGCCACCTCGCCATGTGGACGCACGGCTGATCCACAAATCTCCAAAACAGATCAGATGCCCACACAATGGGTATACCAGTAAGAAAAAGCCCAGCGAACCATTGAAGATGATAGCCCCAAAAACCAGCGCCGTCTTTGCCACCGTTCATGCGGAAAACGGGTTCCATGGTAAAGTACACAGCGTGCATCACCGGACCGTGCATAAGATATAGCGCATAGGATATCGACGCCCAGTACTGGACGAATGGCGTTGTCAAGATCTTCTGCAGTGGAGCCAGCTGATGGCATGCACCAACGATTAGAAACGAGACTGGTATGAACCAGAATGTGTCCGGACAAGGATTATCTGGCGATCTTTGTTGCAGCCATCGGAAGAAAGGGACCTCGTGGGCCTTGGCTGTGGGCCAACCACAGATGTAGAGCGCTATTACAAGCTGGCACCACCAGAAGATTTCCCAAGCTTTGCCTATTGCATTCTTTGTCGAAGACGGAAGATTGATCTGGAACTCGTCGCTGTCTTTTTCCACGTCGGTCGCCGGATCCAGAGCTACAGCGTGCGCGTTCTTGTATTCGTCCTGAATCAGGCCGAACTCCGCAATGAGCGCACCGGCTAAAAATTCGGCTGGCGCCCAATGTTTGCACTGCAGCGTGTACCATATAATGGCCATGGTCACCGTGAGGCGAACCCACGTCTTACACCTAGACAGGCCTGTGATCGTGATAAACAAAAGCATCGACATGGACAACTCAACCGGAATCGTCCACAAATGACCATCATACGGCGGATCCTGCCGTCTGTCCCAATTCCACGGCTGCGAAGCAAACACCCACAACTCGTGGAAACAGTGCGCCAGTTCCGGCCAGAAACCCCCCTTGACAAGCGGCGGATAACCCCAATCATTGTGCATGAACCAGAAGCTGACGAAAGTTGACGCCACACACGGCAGATACAGGCGCAACCCGCGCCGAAACACGGACGAGGAGAGCGTGGTGTGCAGATCGGCGTAGTTATGCGCGCGCGCTAACCTTAGCGGCTTCAGCGAGAGCACGAAACCGGAAATCACAAAAAAGACGTGCACGAACGGTCGGCCGGTGTACAGCACGCGGATGAAAGGCAGTTGCAGCGGCGACGAATGCATCTTGTCGTCGGAGACGCCGTAGGAGGCGTTGAGGCGCGGGGCGAAGTTCGAGGTGTAGTGCAGCAGGCAGACGGACAGGGATGCCAGACCGCGAAGGCCGTCGAGGTAGGCGGTGGGGTGCAGGCGGGACGCTTTGAACCCGGAGGGCACAAGGCGCCGCTGTACGGGGCTGGGGAGGAGGGCGAACGCTATCGTCTTGAGGTAGCGGGTTCTGGCGGTGCGGGCCCAGAGGGTGTCGGGGTCATTGTCTGCAGCTAGAAGACCTTTTTGACTCGAAGGCGCGGCCTCACTTTCTGTCTTCATTGTTTTTTGAGGGGAGGCGGAGGGATTAGTTCCTTGGAGAGGAAGAGGGAGGGAGGGAGGGACGGTAGGAATGAAGACGTTAATAACCACGACACGTTGAAAGTTTCGGCGTTGAAACAGAAAACGAAGGATCGTTAAAGTTCGGCCGTTGTCGACCACAACCAACAGGCGTCCGCCCCGGACGGTTAAGCCAACCAACGAACATTTTCCGGGCATGAAAGCACCGGGGGAATTCGAACCAACGGCTGTCCCCGGTTAAGAACTTTAAAAACCTGAGGCTAATGGCGCTGCCAGAAAATAAGAAAGCACCGCAACACCACTGTACCAGCGCCATTAGGAATCGAACCTGATACGAACTATGTAGATACCCTCCTCAACAGTTGTTTCATAATCTAAGCGACAAGGGTCCGAAAAGACATACTTTATATCCCAAGCGACGCCAAGCAGCCGCGGCGTTCGCTCCCCGTCATCTGAAACGCCGGACAATCCCAGCAAAATGTCAAATCGTCCACTCCATGTGCCCATAAAAAGGGGGCAACTTATGATTTCCGTCCTCGGGCTTCTCTTTTTCCTTCGATCTGGCTGAGCGAGTCGCTGAAGAGCTGGGCTCATTCATGGATGGTGTGAGGATTGAATAGAGTGAATGGGATTGGAGAAGGAAGGGTTGGAACTATGCTGTAGGGGGAGGGGGCACGTTGCGCGTTTCCATATGAAGACGGGGTTTTGTGTGTGACGGTTGGGTGACCGGCGCGTGGTGCTGCGGCGTGGTGTTGTGGGAAGCGGTCATGGGGATGAGAACGAGAGCGAGGGGGGAGAGGGAGAGGATTTAGGAGACGAGATAGATGATCGGGGAAGGATTGGAGGGTGATGGGGAAGAAGGGAAGAAGGAAAAGGAAGTAGATGGGTCCTGGTAGATCTATCATAGGATAATTGACCGGGACCGATTCAAGCTTCACGAGTGAGGACACTCGTCCTGATTTTGGTCTGGTGGTAGAAAAAGTCACAAGGCAGAGTCTGTACATTGTCTTAATCTGACAATATGCTGATACGAGAGGGATTGTCAGCGCTTTGGGCAATTATCCCCATGGGACGACGAGGACAAAAGCGCAGAGCACTACCACTGCCATTTTGAAATCGTCTCTTGCTTTCACAGCAGCCCCCACGGATGACTGAGTGCTACCGGTCGGCATTGGTCCCGCTGCTGTCCCGGTCGCAGCGGTAGATGTATTCGCAACGGCCTGAGTGCTCGGAAAAATGATCCGCCCATACTGTTCCGTCACCGACTGGCCGCCAACAGCAAAGACAGACTGCAAAGGCTGGACTGTCGGTATCGTGAACGTGCTCGCGGTATTGACTATCGACCCGAACGAGCCAAGCGATACTGGCGTCCCGGAAACCGTCACCGCTGGCCCATTGTTGGAGGTTGTGGTGCCTGCAATGGCTACGCCTGCAGGTCCAGCGGCAATGACCTGGCCAGCGACGGTGTAAATCGGAGGTAGCGAACGGCATGGTGGTGGTGCCCATGATCAGGGCGGTGCAGCCGAAGGAGACGGGCGTGCCGGCGATGAGTGTGCCGGGAGCATTGCGTGTCAGAGTTGCATCTCCGATGACGACTTGTGTTGGGATTACGGTTACCGTGGTGGCTCCTGCCGTGGCCGTAGGATATTGTGGAGCGGGAGTGATATCTCGGGGTATTTAATTCTTGGGTTGGAAGCAAGGCGTAAGCCAGAAAACAGGAACGGGGGGCTTACTACCTTGACTTAACGTGGATTCGAACGTAATTGAAATGTTGGTAAATGCAGAACCGGCGGCGGAACACAAGATAGACAACGTGATAATGCATTTCATCTTAGAGCCTAAATGAGGATGGTGACCCAAAATAGATGAAAGGGAATGATCTTGATTCTCGTCAATCGAGTAGGCAAGAAGAGAGCGTTGTCCTATGTAAGGAGAGGTTTAACAAGTAACGACCTTGGACTGGACAGCTCGAAGCGTGCAAAGATTGCGAGTATGCAAATGCCATCATGGCTTTATAGTATCGGAGACGTTCGGAGTCTGTAAGATGTCATCATAAACTTGTATAGTGGCGCCGGCGATGTTCGGTCATCCTCATGGTAGTCGGCTAGTCACACGAACCAATAACTCACCTTGCGGCTGTTCGCCCAAGATGTTTCTGATCCTAGAATTTCATTCCCAATATAAAGCAGGGGTTGGAGACTCTGCTCTATCAACAAAGGGCATTTTTACATGCGTCTTGAGTCTCACCTCTAAAGAGCTCTTTTTACCCGTCTGGCTATGTGAAAATAGTTCTTTGGAAACGTTGCCGAATGTTGTGCAACTCCGTCAGTGACCTTGGTCATATCTGCCATCCTGACCAGGTCGTTGTTCGAAGCGCTATTTATTATCGATCGATCAATATGGTAACACTAGAGCAACAAAAGTCTCCCGAGTTCAGAAGTGCGCGATCAACTCGTTTCGAGCCTCCCTCGATGAGGAGAACAAGAATTGCTGAGACGGAGGAAAAACGTATCCTGTGGTGATGCTTTTCGGATATTAGCAACCTGGAGAGTATGTCCGAGAGCTTAGTCAGCCGAGGGAGCAAAATTCTGTAGACGATTTTCGATTCTAAAGCAAATGGCCAACGAGTTCGAGATTACCACGATGCTGCTATTTGTCTCATGTGGAATTGTTCGACGCTAGATCTTCTGGATGCTTATGCCATATGAGCTTGGGTCCTCCAATTTTCCGTGAACAGCATGTGAGTGACATCCTCTTATCTTGCGAACCTTACTCGATGCGGCCCTTGGTTCTATGCCACCTCATGTTTACTGCAAAGCTCCCATAGCCTTGCAGACTACTTATGGTTAGGGGGGTAATTCTCGAATGTTGTGAGAACCTTGGGTTGACTAAGCAAAGCACACAAGTCTCTCGCTCGCGTCTCACTCATCAATCGCTTGGGACTTGTTTTGCCAGTACCAACTGATACACTCTTCATTCGATCTGCCTCTAATCTCATCCCCTGTTTCCGGCTCGCTGCATGTTTGTCGAACCATTCATATCAAACAACGTTTGATCATCATTCTTTCTCCCTATGACTAGTCCATACTTGAAATGCTTCACCAAACCTATGTCTCAAAGACACCTGAGATTTTCGCCTCATCTTTGCAGACATAATTCTGCCCAATCAGATCTTAAATGAACCTGTCTGATAGCTTTGCTTTATCTAGAGCCATACTCCGTGCCATCATGGCCTCAGAGACAGACGAAGATGGCGTTACAAGTCCCTCTAAAACAGAAATCAGTGACCCGCTCGAGGGCTACCGTCAAGAAGAAGCGAGCGACATGTTTCGAATCACCTGCGAACAATATGTCACTGACCGAGAAGCCAACACAAAGGGAACAGCCAATCCATCTGTCATGAACAAACCGTTCTGGATGTTCCAGGTTGGCCCAGGAGGGTTCCCCGCGTGGAATGCTCGAACAACTTTTGGAAATGCGGAAGACCCTTTTGCAGACTTTGAAGACCCGGTATGGTGCTTTACCCGGTATGGCGCGACGCGCACAAAGCTTCCTGATGGTCGCGTCGTCTGCATAGCTGGGGAGCATGAGGATGGCTACGATCCAGATTTCTGTATATACAACGGTAAGCCCTTTCCACGCGCCATTAACAGGCAACAAGTGAGAGCGTGTTTCAAAATTACCTCATGGATCTGGTTCCTGCAGCTCCCAGTGGCCCCATCCACTGACTAAATGGCAGATGTGGTAGTCTTCGACGCGCTGCAGAAAACTGATCCGCCTCCCCTGCTCACCCCAGAGTGCATCAAGATTTACGGGTAGGTCCCGCTGCTAGATTGGCCTACGCATGTGATGGTTATGTCTTGACGTTCATTTACCTCGATAGGTACCCAGTCGAAATTTTCCCACCAACAGACTTCCACACGTCCACATACTCCGTAGACCCCACAACCGGAAAGGAGTCTATCATCATCGTTGGCGGACTTGGTTACACTGGCCAGGCCTCTCGGTCTCAGACCGACGTCTACCAGCTTGACCTGACTGACTTCAGCATACAACGACTGATCACGTCTGGTGTGGGTCCTACTGGAGGAACCAGCAAGCACACAGCAGAGCTTATTGGTGGGGAAGGGCAAGCTGCAATCAAAATAATGACAGCAGAAAGCAAGATGTTCACGCTGCGCATCCACGACATGAGATGGATCTGACGTGCACCCAAAAAGCCGATCTAATATCCTACTTTGCGCCTCAGCTCCTCAATCATGCGATGGTCGGGATAGTACATTCAACGGATATGGTGGTGAATCATGCAGAGAAGGAAAAGCGTTTATCCATCGGTAGCGAATGGCGCGGAATAAGTCCTAAGGGACAATCACCGCTCTGACTATCAAGCAGCGCCAGCAACTTTCTCATATTGCTTCAAATTCATACATAGCTGAAAAAGAAAGCCAAAAAAACCCCCACAAAGCACTTAAATTTCCATTTGAGCAACACTTATGCAAATCGGAGCCCACGCCTTCGGTCCCGAGCAGCGATTGATATCAAAGATGACTAGTCGGATCATCCTCTGCTCCAGGGATAAACAGTCCCTGCGCCTTGATTTCCCTCCAGCCCAGCTTCTCAAACATCTCACGCAACTTACGACTGTATTTATGCTCATCCATAGACCTCCCATCCTGCACATACTCAGCACCTTTTCCCCTCCTGACTCTCACCTCAATCGAAGGCCGCACCGGCCCAACATCCGACTCACCATCCCCTTGCCGCTCAATCGATAGCACCGGCTCACCATTCCCTTCAAAACAACCTTGCCCCGCCGGATCCTCCACCTCCGCATTGTAATCCCCTTCGACTTTCCTCCATACCCCGCCCTCCCTACGCGACCACATCTCAACCCTCGCCCCAGACTCCTCCCCATCCCTCTCTTTAACCATCCTATCCCACGCCCCCGGCTGCTTATCGCGACCATTCGTCTCCCTCGTCACGGCCCCATCCGCCGCGCGACTCTCAAAGACGACGGCATCCAACCAGCGATCACTTGCACTCTCGAACACCAGCTCCTTCCACCCTTGACCCTCTTTGATCATTCCTTCCAGATCATAATACGTAGCGTTATGCCCCCACCCATCCTCACACACATCCTCGCCATGATACGCATCCGTCACTTCCAACGTGTCAAGCCGCAACCCCTGGAACAAGGGCAGCAAGCTGGGAAAGAGGTGCGTGTGGTAGCACGAGTCGTCGTCGGAGGGGTATACAGGTAGCGGTAAGCCGCGGAGCGAGATGTGGCGGAGCTGGGCGAGGGAGGCCGGGGTCAGGGTGGTCAGGTGGTCGACGAGGTGCTCGGTGGTGAGGAGGTTGTAGGTGGCGTTGGGGCGGAGGGAGGGGAGGGCTTCGGTGTGGATTCCGTGGGAGGTGGAGAGGAGGGGTGGGGGGGTGAAGGTGGGGTAGGTGATGGTGGTGGCGCGGAAGTGGGAGGCGTAGATCTGGTTGCGGATTTCGAGGGGGAGGGCGAGGAAGCGGGTGAAGGACTGGGGGGGTGTTAGCTTGCTGGGCTTGTAGATTCGACCCATGGCGGGAGGAGGGGACTGCGATACCATTGTAGGAGGCTGAGAGGTGCGGCCGGTATTGAGTTGATGAACGGTACCAATGGGTCCAGATTGGAAACTCCAGTCAATGGCCATTGACCGATATCACCCAGATAGACGAGGTACGGAGGTCGGCTCAGGACAGCGCTAGCGGCAGCCCTACCCCTGTTATCGGAAGGCGGCCCTGAAGTTTCTTAGATTTTAGGGACTTCCAGGTGGGGCTTGAGCCCCAAGCCGGGCACCGACCAGGGGCAATTCCGAGGACCTTTGGTGACCTCTGTAGAAACCACAGAATCTACGGCATAGCTAGAGATCATGTACAGAAGTTGTGCTTGTCGGAGGGTTCTACTTCGCAAAGCCTTCCTTCAATTTCCCATTGTGATTCGCTAAATCAACAAGAAATCCACGAATCGAAGATCAATGTACGAAAGAAAGCGACGTCCTCCCAGCCTGCTCAGGTGACAGCCACCTTCAACTCTTTGAGCTTCTCTCAGACCGCAAAGAACGCCTGGCAGGGATTGCTTTCTACCAAAGCACGACCGAAAGCCTGCTGCTGAAGCAGCATCTTGACCGATATTCCAACCAACAGGTTGATGCCTATTTAATTCTTGATCTTCCATTGAAATTAGTCAGATCATCACTGAGAGGAGTGACAATGTCATCGAAGACTTTCTGCTGCAATTGTTCATTGTCAGGGCTCATGTCCCGCACATCGAATGGCTGATACAAACACCTCCAGACTGCGTCACCGTATCGAGTTCCCATTTCACTATAAACAGAACTACACAATCTGTGTGCGGTCTTCAATTCCGTGGTTGACTCGTTCGCATCTCCATCTTCTGGAACGTGCATTTCTGTTAGTGTTTTCCCGAAGCAGAGCTCGATCAGCGTCAGACCCAGAGCATAGAGAACTTCGCTGCGGATCATAAAGGTTCCACAGAAAAGCGAGTCAAAAGAGCCAGAAATGTTACTATCGGTCATGCAGAGCTTCCATGTCAGGTAAGGATACGGGTAGCTTGGATGACTGGCATCGTTGCTCTTCTCATGGAAAAATATGTCTTTGCTCCTCCACTGTGATTTGAGCCATGACGTTCCGTCTAGCTGAAGGACACTTGATGCAAGCGTCACTGCTATTCGAAGACGGTCACTTCTCAAAAGTGGGGCGCTGGATGATCCATGCCCAGAGCAGCTCAGAAGATCACCGAGCGACTTTGATCGGCTCTCGGGACCAATCGTGGTGTTAGCTCGATATACGTAGTGCTTGTGCGTGTCGTCCTCTTCATCCACAAGGAAACCCATTGGCTTTTTTGAGTCGTGTCTCGCGCACAATGTGCTACACATGTCATGAATTAACCCGCAGTCATACTCAGTTGCAGGCTCTTGTGAAGAGCTCGCCGTTGGGATGGAAGCTGCGTCTGTTCCGAACCTCACGCCCCTAGTCGAAATTTGCGGCCCAACGCTGATGGCGTCAGGAACTTTCTTATCCAGTGATGGTATGACCTCAACTTCCTGCCACTGGGAGGTCGTCCGCGGACTGTCTCTTTCCTGGATGGTGGACAACAAGATCCGAAACCTCATTTTCGGTGCAGTGTCTGCATTTACTGCTTCGAGTACCTCAGGCCGTGACTCTAGTCGCAGGCTGGCCATATGGAGCATCTTGCAGCTACATTTCCAGGCTTTGCCGGTAATGAAGACGTGATAGAGGCTTGTGGCATGCTTTCTTACGAGCTTCAACTCAGCTAATGGACGCCGTGACCGGCGCTTTTTTCGGTGTGGCTCCAGGTAGATGTTTTGATGCGTAATGTCTCGAAGGTCCTTATTAGCTTTGTCAATCATATCTAGGGCTTCCTTGTGGATGTTTTTCGATAAGGTGACTTTAATCCTTTTCATCTCACGCTCCACTCTCGAGGAATCATCCGGGAGAACCTGTTGGAAAACCCCCATATTTAGCCGCCGGTGGCGTTGACGGATGGAGCGAGACTTGGTACCAACCTTGCCTGAGGTGTCGACTCCCAGCTTCTCGCACATTGTACACAGAGCCTTCACCATCTTGTTCGAAGTGTGCAGATACACTTCATAAGAACGGCCTAACCGTTGTCTCAGCTTTTCCTCATACTCCGGCCTCTTCCAGATAGCTCCTTTGGGCTGGGCCATCAAGTCTGTGATCTCATCTTCGGATTGGACAATGTCTGTTAGCAATTGTTCCAACGTGTCCTGATAATACACCCCTTGGGTCCCCATAATGTCGGCACATTCTTGATGTCTGGCGCGATATCGTCGCCAATGTTTGATGGTTTGGACACCATCTACAAAGCGGACCAGCCCATCTACCAGAATTGGAAATACTGCGAGTGCGATGCCTGCCACTTCGAAGCCACTCATAGCTATTGGAAGTTGCTTTGCTACAAGATACTGTTGTTTGTACGGAGTAAAGGTAAGGAATCTTACTCGGAGCTAATTTTAGGGAGGCTTGGCGTACGTGAGAAAAGCGCTTCCTCGAAACCAGTGATTGGCGGTAGTATATGCAGGTGTGAGGGAGTAAATCAAGCGGTACAACTTTAGCCTACCAACCTCAGCTCTTCGACAGAGACATGCGTATTGCTGTTGACGCAACGTATAATTACAAGTAGGGAGGTTTAGCAACAATAATTAAAAGAAATAATTAAAACGAAATACGCATTAAGTACCACAGCTAAAATTCTCACTGCCAGGCTTGGCACAGACTTGGCAAAAAAAATTACTTAAGAAGGTAGTTTTTCGGGTGGCTTTTAAACCAGTGATTTATATTTTAAATCACTGATTTAAAGCAAATTCGATAACTTTTCAACTTCTTAATTATATATCATCATTAAAAGCGATTATAAAATTGCGCTTTTTTTATATTATCTTCTAGATATATCAATATATAATTTACGAAAATTATTCCTTTTAATTATCGTTGCTAAACCTCCCTACTAGTACCGTTTCCTGCATCAACAGCGCGCTGCAGAGTGATCGTTCTGGTCTTTTGCAACCCAAGCCATGACTGCCTCAATTTCATCAGCCATCATTGCTTGTTTGAAGTCGTTCAACGACTTCATCCAGGAGATCAGACTTCTTCAGAATGCGAGTGTAGCAGGACTTGATATTGGTACCTGGGATGACGAATTGGGCCGCCTACGTATATGGGCTGCGAACATCGGCGCTCACCAGACCGGTCAATCGTCTCTAGATTTCCGGCTCAGAGATGCATCGCACGTCCGCGAGCAGATCGTAAAGCTTCTTCAGGGCTTACTCCGGAAACTTCAGGACGCGAGGGATGTGCTGGCCGAGGATGAAGAGAGCGAGGATGAAGGAGATGCAGATGATTTCATGGATGAGGAGGACCCCAAGACAGAAATCCAGGAGCTCCAAGCAAGTCTTGCGACTACCCTCGACTGTCTTTTTCAGATGTCAATGCTGGTTCGAAAGCCAGCGCAGCACGATGTGCATCTAGGATCAAAACGCGCTGACGTTGCCGCGTTTGAGCCATTCGACTACAACCACGTCAGGGAGAAATACCCTAGGGCGGACGATGCACTCGTGAAACGCCTTGGGAAAGCTATCACTCGTAGGCGCAAATATCTGAGATACCGCGAAAGGCATGCTATCAAACTCAGGCAAGGCATTGACGATTTCGATCCGGGGGCTCGCGAGTTTCAGGATGTCTACGAGGGCGAAACCAGGAAAGAAGGCACTACAAGCTTCATGTCCGATACTGTCGCTACAGATTTTCAACATCCGAATATTGACTTTGACGACAACACCTCGGAAACGGGTATATCACAAACCTCCTATGCGCCAACCCTACTCAGTGGAGGGAATATCGCTATTCCTCCGCCTCCTAAAAGTTCTTTGGGAGGAAATCCCTTTGAGTGCCCTTATTGCTTCTATCTCGTTACTGTTCATGGAACTCGCTCATGGAACAAGCATGTCTTCCAAGATCTACAGCCATATATCTGCATAGCCCCAACATGCGCGACTCCGGACAAGCTGTACACGACAAGACATGAATGGATACACCACTCAGATATGGTTCATCCAGCAGTGACGATGGATGATGGCACACCAAAAGAAGGTCAGGGGTTTGCCGCCTGTCCTTTGTGCATGGAAGAAATCGAACCAGGGAAGCAATACCATCGTCACCTTGCTCGTCATTTACAGGAACTTGCTCTATTCATTCTGCCTGGCGGTGAGGAAAACTCTGACGTTAGCGAGGACCAGGATGCTGAGTCGAGTTCAAGCGCCGAGAGCGTCGACCTCGCGGCATCTCATGATAGGTCGGAGTCGCCAGATGGTCTACCGGATTCTCCGGTCGAGCACCCGGCTGCAATCGAGAAATTTCTCTCTCCGTTTTCGACGCAAGAGCTGAATGAGAAGGAGGAGAATTTTCGAATGCAAATTACGGAGAGCCGAAGGCTACTAGGAGAAGACCATCCGGAAACGCTGACCAGCATGCACAATCTGGCATGGATATATCAAGGATAAGAACGGTGGGAAGAGGCGGAGGGCTTAGAAATGAGAGTGCTAGAAACCAGACAAAGACTACTAGGAGCAGACCATCCAGACACGATGATCAGCATGAGCCATCTGGCAATCATGTATCGACTACAAGGAAAGTTAGTACAGGCGGAGAACTTGGAAACGATAGTGCTAGAAACGAGAGAAAGACTACTGAGAGCAGACCATCCAGACACGCTGACCAGTATGAGCAATCTGGCATCGACATATCAACGACAAGGAAAGTTAGCACAGGCGGAGGACTTGGAAACGAGAGTGCTAGAAACGAGAGAAAGAATACTAGGAGTAGATCATCCAGACACGCTGAACAGTATGAGCAGTCTGGCATCGGCATATCAACGATAAAGAAAGTTAATATAGGCGGAGAAATTATATAAATAAGCATTGATCGAAGGAACGAAACTATTGGGCCCCAACTATAAATTTACCCTTGATGTCTCTCACAACTTGGGCAGTCTTTATTATCTTTAAGAGAAGCTGATAGAGGCCGAGAAGATGTACCAGCGGGCACTGGAGGGAAGAGAGAAATCATTCGGCCGGGATTATGTTGACACACTCGATACTGTCAATAGCTTAGGCAGTCTCTATGTTAAACAGGGCAGGATGGCAGAAGGCGAAAAGATGTACCAGCGGGCACTGGAGGGAAGAGAGAAATTTTTTGGCCGGGACCATGTTGACACACTCGATACTGTCAACAGCTTAGGCAGTCTCTATGTTAAACAGGGCAGGATGGCAGAAGGCGAAAAGATGTATCAGCGGGCAGTGGAGGGAAGAGAGAAATTATCTCGCCGTGATCATGTTCACAAAATTGCGCAGGCTTTTACAGCAAACAGGGCAAGCTAGCAGAGGCGGAGAAGATGAGTCAATGGCTACGGGACATGAGAGAAGCTGTTAGACCCATGTCATTCAATGACCAAATTGATCGGTCGCAGGCCACAATCAAGGCCTTTTGATTGTTACAGATTACGTGGCGCACGAGAGCACTATCAGATTTTAGGAAGGGAAGTTCGCTGCGGAATGCATGGTTTTTCAGGGGAGTGGTGGTATGACGCGTGGATTCCTTGAATTGATAGCTTTAATAAGATCATATTTGCCATAACCTTATCAACCTCTCACCCAGAAATGGTCGTAAGAATAACTCATAATCGTTTCCATATCGCATCATCGTCAAGCATTCCACAGTCATGTCCCACTCCCAAACGCCAAAAATCTCTACAACATATGAGAACCGCTGCGCCTAGAGCTTGTGATCTTTACGCGTTCGAAAAAACAAGAGACATGATCCGTTCGACCTCAACACCCAGCACTGCCTTCACAGCGTCTTCCATTCACACCAAGAACCCCTCAACCGCTGCCTCTTGAAACGGAAACGCGGCAACGGGACCACTTCATTCCGCCCATTGCGCGCGACTGTATCCATGTCAGCAATAGTCCTCCATCCATCTCATGCAGAGGACCTCTTACCAGTACGGACACGTCTTCACCCGGTCATTCGCCTCTTGCGAAGCATGCCACAGGCTGGCGCACTCGGCGTGGAGGTTCTGCCTGCACTGTGCTCTGCACCATACGGTGTCGTCGCCGCTGCTGAGATCTTCGAAGCAGATGGGGCAGTCGTCTTCTATGGGTCTGCGGTCGTGGGAGTGGTGTGAGGGTGTGGGTGTGAGGGTGTGGGTGGTTCGAGGATAGGCGCTTCGGATGACGTTGCGTTTGCCGCTTCTTCTCTTGGTGTGGTGAGGTTGGCCGCGGATGGAATTGGGGATGGGTTTGTTTCTTGCGGTAGTGCTTCCGGCGGGCTCGACGAGTTAGGGTCTGGGTCCGTTTGCCGTCTGGATTCTTCTTCATTTGGATCATTGTTCTCTCTTCTTCCCGGTTCTTCTCCAGTAGTAATCGACAGGGTTGCTGAGGAGGAGACGTGAATAGATAGGTGCACCACCGAAGTCGCGGTTTGGTCTATCCTAAGGGTCGTTGCTCGAGTTTGAGCCAAAGTGGAAGACGCCGGAGATGGGGTCGTGCGGACTGTGCTTGGCCGCTCCGTCTGGACTATGCTCGACCGTTCTGCCCGGACTATACTTGAATGCTCTACCTGAGTTGTGCTTGACTGTTCTGCCCGGACTGTGCTCGACTGTTGTGCCTGGACTGCACTCGACCTCTCTGTCCGGACTGTGCTTGACCGCTCTGCCTGGACTGTGCTCGACTGTTGTGCCCGGACTATACTTAATGCTCTGCCTGGTTGTTTGACCGCTCTGCCTGGACTGTGCTCGACTGTTCTGCCCGGACTGCACTCGATCTCTCTGCCCGGACTGTGCTAGACTGTTGTGCCTGGACTGCACTCGACCTCTCTGTCGCTTGCCGCTCTGCCGGACTTGCCCTCTCTGCCCGGACTGTGCTCGACTGCTCTGCCCGGACTTCTGCAGCTGTGAACAGGAGTTGCACCAGGTACTCCGTACGCTCACGTAGACGAGCAGTTTCGGCAGCTCGGTAACTCTCAATGTTACGTCGCCACTGTCTCTTCATATCTAGTGCTTGGTCCTGATGCCATCTCCTGCAAAGAAGGCGAGACGCTAGGTCTTCGAGTTCGTCATCGACTCTTTGGGACTGAGGATCAAGTTTCGAAATCTCCAGTAGTATCTTTGCAGAGTCCTGACGGTTGGCACATGCGATGGGGTTACGACATCTCCGGCCTTTCGACGGGGCGTAGCCGATACATGTGAAGCCGGATGAGTAGGGGTCAAGTCGGAGTACCTCGGCTGGTTCCCATTGAGGAGTTGGCATGGCGAGCGGCTTCTAGGGGAGAAAGTGAAGAGACTTTGAACGTCCGCTTGAACAAATGATTGCTGATATGGAAAGTAACGAATCGAGTCGTCCATTTTGTATGTCCATGGCGAGTCTTATATGTTGCATTGACTGCTTCTTCTTGAGTAGAAGCCTCGCGCTCGTCGAATCAGCCACATTCAGCCTGACACTGCCCCGTCGAACTTCGACATCTTTGTATGTGAAAGGGTGTGGTGGGGGTCACGGCATCATTATTAGCATTGGGAACCATTGGCCGAAAAGACAAAAGGATTCCTGCCTTACTGCAGCCTCCTGGCACAGTGCTCTAGTGTGGCTTTTAGAGTGTCGCTGAGCCACCACTTAAAATAGCGTTATGGCTCGCTGACGCAATGATGTTTCTCTTTCTTATGAATTCTTTCTTTTTCGCGTTGCACCTGGTGCACGTAGGACAATTCCGTATCGCCGAATATAGCACCCGTCACTGTCCGGAGATTGTCCGCTACGACTGTTCGATCACGCACTTCTGCTCAAGCGATGGGTAATTGGATGGATCTTAAAAGCCCGCCCTCTTCCCGTGGCTTTTGACATGGAGCAAGGTTTATGAAACGGGAGTTGCTGCGGGACTCATGGTCCGGGCGCCTATCTCAAAATTGACCAATCAGCATCTCGCCGTGAAAAAGGTCGATCAAATTCAGTCAAGAATCACTGGATAGACCGGAATCTCTAACAGTATGTAAGCATGGCACAATGCAGATGAGATGACCAGGGTTACCGATGATAGAATTGTCTGATAGTGCATATGGGCCCTGCTAGCCTCTAGAAGATCGTGGAGATGCATTTTCGCAACACGTGGGGTGATTGCCTTGCATGATCTGGTTCTCGAGAGCATGAAAGAGGGACGATTGCTATACGAAGTCTAGCTGCAGTCCTGAAACCTTGTCGCGAAGTGAAGCAGAAGACGCACAGAACTTCCGTCCTTGTTTCGTTGACGGTGGTATGCCAAGTTAATGAGGTTTCACCCTATTGAACAAGATATCGAATGTGTTATGGAGTTCACGTTCCTCATCAGAGATTAAACAGGAGAACTAGAACTCGCTAACAAGTCAGTGTAGCGCTAGAAAAAAAAACAGGAATCTTGTCTGGAGGTGGCCAGGTCTTCTGAGGCCATCTAACAATCTCAAATTTTGACAGGATAATGAAGGACATGAGCCCCGTCCAAGACTGACAAAGAACTATAATTACATCAATGAGCAGGCCAAGAAAGAAAAGCGAAAGCATCAACACGTCGATGTCACCCCCTCCGAGACCTGCGTACTGGGACCACTAATGTACCTACAATTGAGGCCGTGCAAGTCTCGTGGTTTCAAGCGCTCACGATAGGACCACCAATGATCAGGAGAGGGATTGCGCCGGGAGTGTACGATGTTTCGTTGAAGTGATATAATGAATCAGGTAATCATTGGATACCCTCAAGATCTGTAACAGGATACAAGAGCTGAGAAGCAATGTTCCACCACGACCTTGACGCCTAGTACTGATTCTGGGTTCCAGTGCGAGCGAAGTAGACCTATCGGTGGTTCCTCTACACTGACCATGCCGGGTTTCAGAGTGGTTCCAACCCCATGGTGTCGCGTCCCGTCACTTGAGCGATATTACATCCATTGGCTGTTATCAGACCGGCTTCGGGTTTGAGTATGGGTCGAAAAGTAACGCGTTGGAATGCTCTTTTACCCAAATTCCCTTTGTAGTTGACTGTTCGCGTCGGACCCTTCGCGTTGTTGGTCACTTGGCCCTGCCCAGTACTGCCTACGGGCAGGTCGAGACGGGGTCGGAGACGGAACCACGTAGGGAGCCTCACCGAAAGTCCTGAATATCAAGGTTCTAGTCTGATGCCTTGGCAACTGCTGACATACGTGCCTTTCTGAGGAATGCTTAGAGTAGTATTGCTCAGGGTAGTTGAGCCCAGATGGGTGCTACCCGAGATACCGGGTGCGCCTTCCGGAGCTGCCCTTGGTGACTGCCCTAGGTAGCCTTTCCGGCGGGCCGTTACCCGAGACCCTGGCGCTAGGATTTTTAGTACAAACGCTGTCTGCTTTTTCAACATCAGTCTTCAGCTTCGTCAAGGCAATTTTGACAAATCCATAGAACGCTCGGCTTCCACGATCTCTGCAAGAACTGACGTCCGTACCAGGAGTAAACTTCGTTTAAGCTTAGAAGCTGCGCTGACGCCGGTTTGCTAGACGTCGATCCAAGGGTAGAAGCAGAGAAAGTGGACAAGCATCATAAAAAAGTCTACTCTACGTAAACGAAGGCTCTGTGATAGAGAAATCAACTCATCCATGGAGAAGGATGCTCACCGGTAAGATGCAACACCTTCGATTCTCTCTGCTCAAAGGTATTACAGCCACCATTCAAAGACAGAATCCAATTGGTATACGCCTAGTATCAGACGGTATCAAGAAGTTGGAATAAAGATTTGCACTACACTGTATACGTGGACTTGGACTGCAGCACAGCCACACACTACCAAAAGCAGCTCCCTGTACAACTTCCTGACGCAGAGCTCACGCGCCCTACAGATGCTATCTCTCCCAAGTCTGACTCGAAATGAGATTCGCGAGATCGAAGCTTGGCACAGCCGCAAAAGTCTGTTTTCTCTTCCGAACTGCTAACTTGCATTTGCTCTTCTTGGCCACGTGGTCGTTGAGGAGACACGGACACTTGCGTCGAGAAGCCACCCAAGCGTTATCATTCTCTTCTCGACGGAGAGGGAAGCATGGGAGGCAGTATCAACGACCCGAAGTCTCTGCTGAGACCCCACAGTAGGCTATCTGCTCGTTCTTCCCACCCAACGGACAGTTCAGCATCGTCACCCTTGCTTCAAGTTGGGCTTGAAATTATTTGAGCTTGCACTCGGTAAAGACACGCTGCTCACGCCAACGGGCCAAGTGATCCATGGGATCTTGATAGCTGGAAGTCAGCTCTAAGAAGTGTCAGGAACCTAGCCCCTTGAGCAGAGAGTGTTATCAACAGTTATTGTGTATATGACGGATCTTTGCCCAAAGGTAGTCTACAGCCACCATTCAAAGACAGAATCCAATTGGTATACGCCTAGTATCAGACGGTATCAAGAAGTTGGAATAAAGATTTGCACTACACTGTATACGTGGACTTGGACTGCAGCACAGCCACACACTACCAAAAGCAGCTCCCTGTACAACTTCCTGACGCAGAGCTCACGCGCCCTACAGATGCTATCTCTCCCAAGTCTGACTCGAAATGAGATTCGCGAGATCGAAGCTTGGCACAGCCGCAAAAGTCTGTTTTCTCTTCCGAACTGCTAACTTGCATTTGCTCTTCTTGGCCACGTGGTCGTTGAGGAGACACGGACACTCACGCCAGGAAACCACCCAAGCGTTATCCTTTGAACAGGACAGGGCTACCTCAAGGTCAACATGGGGTACGTGGACTGAATTTCTCAGCAGTAGCGAGAGATAGCGCTCTCGTCAGGGTCATAAATCATCATTCATTATTACATAATCCCTCCCCCTTTCAAAGCAGCTAATGTCTCAAATAGTCAAGCATTTACGACAACAAAGCCCTTAAAGCCTTCATCCAAACTCTCCTTTAGCTCTTTTTGGTAAAGCGGAAGTCCACCCGCGTAGCACAATTGTTCCCTCGGCTTCCCCGGAATATTGGCCCCCATATACCAACTATTAGCTGATGGAAACAGCGTCTTGTCACTCAACTCTGTGATTTTGCGTCTCCAATCCTCCTCCGCCTCCCTCGTCGCCTCAATGCTCTGAATACTTTCGTCCCTCATCTTCCGAATGGAGTCCACGATCCAATCACCCTGGACCTCGACGCAGGTGGGCCCATTGCTGAAGGCCGTGGGACCCTGGGCGCCATAGAGAAAGAACATGTTAGGAAAGCCGTTGCAGGTAGTGCCGAGGTAGGACCACGTGCCCATGGCCCACTTTTCGGCCAAAGGCTTGCCGTCGATGTCCTTAAGGCCCATGTTCATCATGCCGCCCGTGACGGAGTCGAAACCTGTCGCGAGAGCAATAAGGTCGACTTCGTGTAGTTTACCATCCGCGGTAACAAGGCCACGGGGACGGACTCCGACAACGGGGTTCTTGTTGACGTCGATGACGTGGACATTTGGTTTGTTGAATTGCTCGTAGAAGTCTTGCTCCAACGAGGGGCGCTTTGTCCCAAAGGCGTGAGGGGGTTCGAGAGGTGCAAGGATATCGGCGGTGGCAGGGTCGGTAATGCGAGCGCGGGTTTTCTTTGCCCAAAAATCGTAGTGGTGGCGGTTTGCTTCTTTTTCGTAGAGCATGTCTTTATAGGTAGCGAGCCAGAGCTTGAAACCTCCTTCTTCCCAGAGCTGTTCGAAGAATTTTTCTCGTTCCTCGGAGCTATCGTCCAGGGTGTTTTTCTGTATGTTATCGAATGGGAAGCCGGCGAAGGTCGATTTGCGGTCGCGGAAAAATTGCTCGTAGTCGTCTTTGCGATCCTCTTGTTCTTTCGAGGTGAGGCTTGCTTGTTGCATCGGCAAACAGAGATTGGGAGTGCGTTGGAAGACTGTCAGTTCTTTGGCTCTCTTCGCGCATTCTTGTGCTATCTGGATGCCGGTGGACCCAGTACCAATAACCGCAACTTTCTTGCCGGCAACATCTACATCTTCCTCGGGCCAGAAAGACGAGTGATGTATTGCGCCTTCAAAGGTGTCCAGGCCTGGCCAGTCCGGAAAATTCCGTTTGGCAGCAAACCCAGTAGCCAAGATCAGATACCTGCATCTTGCAGTCTTGCCATCTTCCGTCTTGACAGTCCATCCCGGTCTTTTCTCGTCCCACTCGGATGACACCACAGCGCTCTCGAAGACAACGTCCTTTTTGACTTGCAGCTGCTGTTCGACATGATCAAAGTAACGTCTCAGCTCCTGCCAACCGGGGTATTTGCACGACCAAGACCAATTCTTCCATACCTTCTCAAGCGAGTATTCGTATACGGGAATAGGAGAATCGACACGGGCGCCCGGATAGCAATTCCAATGCCAGATGCCGCCGAGGTCTTTTCCGGCTTCAAAACATTTGACATTGAAGCCAAGCTCGTCACGAAGTCGGTGTAACAGGTAGACGCCTCCAAATCCAGCACCAACGATGAGGATATCTGTTTCAATCTCTTGTGGCACACTCCCTGATTGCGTACCCTGATCTTTTCTTGTTCGAAGGTGGTCTTTGCGGAGGGGTATAGAGGAGCTGGTAGGCAAGGAGGATGCGGTGGCTGCCTGGACATTGAGTTGGGATGCAACAGCATGGCTTCTTGATGAGAAATGACTCAGGACTCAATCAGGTTGAGAATGAAGCAGGGACTTACAGGTTCTCGATGTCATCCATCCGAGGCTCCAGTCGAGCCATCGGCTCTGCGTTTTGCGCCATAGCGCTTAGATGATAAAATGCAAGTATCTGAGAGTCCCGGCCTCGATATGATACAACAAGATGATTAACTTAACGCAGTACAGAAACCTGTGAGATGAAAAGAATAGAGCACTGAGAGGCATTGTATCGTATCTGAGGTATACATATTCTGATTGGCGATGCAAGTCCCTCGGTTCCCCTCCTTTCGACGGCCCATCGGGTCGATTAGGGGCCAATGAATAAATACGAGTCGTGTCACGGTTCGATCGGTGAGTTTATCTTACCCCACACTTTGGTGTCCCTCTCTGCAAGTCGACGGTTACATCACCCGACAGCTTGTTAGCGTGTATTACTTTGAAGATCAGCAATGCAGATACTAAAAAAGGAAGGAAGCCGGGCCGTTCTTGCCCCGACCTCTACAAGTACAAGGCACAACTTGAATACTTTAGACCTCAAGGACAGTTCCCCCCCGCAGCCGCCCCCCTATCCATACTAAATAGGGGATAAGCTCTCCATTGCCTTCTAAGTATGCTACAGGTACTCTACAGCGAAGAACTCATTAAAGATTAGTCAATTGACTTACAGCCTCCTCCCTAGGCCAGAAGTTATGCTGTTATCAACAGCCGTCCTTCGATCCTCTTCGGCAATAAACACGCAATATTGACGCTTACACTTGTCATAGTCGTCACTACCGCTGGGATCAATTGTCGCGGGCGCAACCCATGAATTTCATGGCTTGGTTCTATGCTTCCGTTTAAATTTGCACTGCGATCTCTGTTCTGCATTCGCGGGTTCGTTCTGCCGCGCTACCCTAGTAATAAGGCCTGGCTTCAGGGAGGAAAGAAGACACTGTGTCCAAAATTCCAGTCAAGGCTCGTGAGGGCTAGAGAGCGGCTTCGTGCAAAGCAAGAACGAGTGCCTTTCCACGAAGAAGATGCCGAGCGGTTTAAGGAGACTGCGTACTTCGATCTCGGCTTGTATGACACTTTCTGGACGAGCTCCTTACCGTGAGATAAGCAGACGCTGAGCTAAGGTCATTTGAGGATCGTGATCGACCAAAAGGGGAGGTGGAAGCCTTGGGAGGCTTACGCCCGCAGACTATAGTCATCAATATGAATGCTGGGACCGCCGACTATTGGAATTTGATATGTGGGAAGGAGAGATGGGGATGGTAGGGAGTACCATGAGCTACAATGAGGTGGTTGGGGTCATTGAGAAGGTAACGGGAAGGAAGATATTGGTGAAGGAAAGCAACAAGGAAAAGTTGAAGGAGATGATCAGGGAGGATGAAGGAGCGAGGTTCTACAACCAGGCGTGGCTGAGCATTGCTCAGTGTGATGCAAAAGTGGAACCGACTTTGAATAAGCTCGCCCCGGACGTGAAACCCTGGACAGTTGAGGAGTACCTGGAAAAGCATTGGAGCGGCGTGGAGATTGGAGAAGCTGTTGAGGCGAAGGGCAACATCCTCACGTAAGCGAAGAACGGGTGCCGCGGCTAAGCTAGTGATCTGGTGAACGTCTACCACGGTTGATGCAAGTCGGTGAGTCAAGTCTGCAATTCGCCAAAAACTCTCCTAGCGGCATGTGCGCATAGCGCGAGAAGTACAGAGTAGGAGTATAGCCATTATCCTGACGGTCAAGGGCGCAAAAGACCATCCGCTTCAACCTTACAAGCGTCAACCATCCGGTCCTTTCATTTACCAATGTCTGCACGTCTGACATCTTCGCGTCATTCGTGTCATAAGGGCTTAGTATTCTGCCCCTTTGCAATGTAAAAGTAACAACAACCATGCCTCACGCGCTCGCCTTTACGCTATCATTGTCCTTATATTTTCTAACCCTCATTCCATTGTTTGCATCAGCAGCTGTTTTCCTGCCCTCCATCTCTCCAAACAACGACGTTTCTCTCGCCCTCTCTCCTACTGCCAAACTCAACACCAACCTCACCGCCATTCCAGATGGTCAAATCCGTTGCGTCCTCCCCTACCCGCACCCCATAGACCCTGTCAGTCTCCGCACCTGCCAACCCACAATCGACCGCCTACTCAGTTATCCTTGGATCGACACTCCGCAAACATACCGTTTCTCGCAAGACCGAAAAGGACTCATCAAGATAACGAGCACGTTTTGTGCCATTAGTCTCGATCGAAAATACCATGCTGGAGAGATTACGATTTCGCTCAGGCAGATTTTGCAGAGCGTGATAAGAATTTTATCGCTTTGTAGTGCGTATGGGGAGGGCGGATGGCAGTATATGGATCCGCCTTGGAAGGACTGGATCGTGATTATACAGGGCACTAGAGATATGGAGGCTGGAAGCAATGGCACCATCGGAGAATTGGAAGGGAACGTAGTGCATGTAGGCGAAGAGGAGTGACCTCGAGGCGGTCGTAGCACAAATCTTTCGACAGATCCATGGATTAAGTGTGCCCTTAACAATGGCCAGATCCAAGCCGCCAGGATGGTGGTGCAGTGTCTGTGTCTGCCTCTCCAACTCACATCAATGCACCCGCGGTCTACGCTTGCTTCACCTCTTTCCTTCTTCGAAGGAAAAGTCTTCCCTAAAAAGGTCTGCCGGTAATCATTGCCATCACAAACTTCTCGCTCTCCTCTGCTTGCATCTCCATTGCATTGCGGCGCAAGCTTCCTCCAGCCCTTCCGAGCCAAGAATTGGGGCCGTCGAGGCATGGCCCTGAAATGTTGTAGCTTGTAGCGGGATCATGCGTACATCCTTCTCTTGTTCAGAAAAACAGCCATCAAGAACATATGCCTAGATCAATAGAATTATATCGCAGTGGAGAAAATCCAAGTGTGCCAGCGACGTGCCAAGGTCTGCGTCTTGGGCTTTTGCGTCGAGGAACCATTTGGTCCATTACCATCACGGCGCTTTTGGTGGATCGAAAGACAGACACGCTGTGCAGCAAGGGAGGTTGACCTTATCGAGTAGTATAATTCAGGCGAGGGATTGGGTTCATGGCATGTTTTGTCCTTGGTTTGAGGGTAGGTGGTGTGCGCGGGCGAACGAGGGTGGTTGCTTTTCCATCAAGCTTTCGTTGGAGCACAGTTTTTGCGTGAAGACAGACGGGAGGTGTGGAAAAATATCAGGGTATGGAAGAAGGGGGTTGTCGAGTCTCAGACAGACGCCGAGTCTTAACGGTCGAGATGAGTGAGTCATGCATGAAGACTCTTGATGGGTTTATAAAGATTCAAATCTCCTCTCGCTCCTGACATTGTACTAAATGATAACTCGAGATGACTGCCCCGTCTACTCTCGACTCGTCGAACGCAATCGCACGTGTAGTTCCGCAACCACATGGTCGACAAGTGAATGTGCGCGAAGACATCGACAGCTTCCAATATTTGAGATTTGAAGAGTCATTTCGGCTTTACGAAATCACGTCTCCCTGATTGAACACTCAGCACAGTCAGCTGAGCTATTCGCTCAACTCCAAACTGGTTGGCAACACTATCGCTTTGGTAATTTTTGAACAATCACAGTGAAGACGACTGGTGTTCGACTGACAAGATGACGTTAAAGTGGCCGATGGCCGCATCCAAATGCTATCAAGTCGACCTTCTTACTCCTACGTAGAACACACACTGGATCATTCCGACAACCAGTGCGGTGTTTGCGGGAGTACTTTGAACCCGAAGTCTGTACGCGCATGCGCATCGTGCAATTTCGAGACCTGTGCACCTCGCGGGATGAAGGAAGCCAGTGGTGCCTACACTTCAAAGGAAACTGGGTGCTCATGAGCTTTGCGGCTTTGCATACCATGGTGATAGAAGTCACATATCAACCTCCTCCCCTTCATCGATTTGGTGATTTTCATCCGTTAAGTAAGGGAATTGATTTAGCTTTCTCGAATATCAAGTGCGCTTCTTCAATGCGAGATAATCGGCTCTTAACAATTCTCGCCTGCGAATGAACAGACTCCAAGGACGGCCGTCGAAGCGCAACGGCCCGTAGTCTCAAGCAGTAAACTCCCCTTCGACTCCGATCTCTTCTTTGAGTTTCGAGATTGAACTATACAACGAGCCATTTCCAATGCCCTAGATGGATTAGCATTCTACCAATTATCGTATCAATCTTCTACGACCGTCCCACACGAAGCACTTCCATCAGCTAGGTTACACCACAATTACCCCTCAACACAAGGAATTACAAATGTCACTGCACAAAAGACATTGGCCAAACGGTGTGGTGAGTGGAAAAGGGGCTGCTCCGGACATCTACAGGCAGGACTGCAACACGGCGCTCAATCTCTTCATACGAGATGTAAGTCGATACGAAGAGCGTGACACGAAATGGCTCTCTATTGGTGTGCCAGCGTCTTGGATGGTCCCCGGGGCCTATCAGAGGACTCCGAAGAGATACACTTTCAGTGAGTCGCGATAGCTGCCATGATAGTGCGGATGGGTCGATGAGAGAGTCATAATGATCGTCGCGGAGAATCGTAAGACACCGGTGTCTTGGTAAGGAAAGTGGACATGCCGGTAAAGCCGTCTGATATTTTTGATTTGCGCTCCACAGGGTCGTTTCGGGGGGTGCTTTACTATCGTGAGCTGCTATATGAAGAATGCTTACTTTATTTGCATCAGCTCGGTTGGATGAAATTTGATACGCTTTTCTCCTTCTCTTCTTCATTGATTGTTGGCGAGTTCGGAACGCTGGTGAAGGCTTTTTTGTGTGCGTGAACAGGCACATGTACTTCTGGACTTCCATTCTGGGCGACTAAATTAGCACTCAATAGACTTGTACCGTCTGCTTTTGGAGAGGCTCAATGCGACTGTCAATAAAGAGTGAGAGGCTGAAATATCGACTGAGTGATCGCGGAATGAACTGTGTGTAGAATTCCTTATGCGATAGGGGAAACACGGAAATGTATTTGCGGGGCACGAGAGAGATTGAAAAGTCCTCTCCATACAATATTGTCACGTTCTTTGCGTGCCTTGAGAAACCGTCCCACACGAAGCACTTCCATCAGCTAGGTTACACCACAATTACCCCTCAACACAAGGGATTTCAAATGTCACTGCACAAAAGACATTGGCCAAACGGTGTGGTGAGTGGACAAGGGGCTGCTCTGGACATCTACAGGCAGGACTGCAACACGGCGCTCAATCTCTTCATACGAGATGTAATAAGTCGATACGAAGAGCGTGACACGAAATGGCTCTCTATTGGTGTGCGAGCGTCTTCGATGGTCCCGGCCTATCAGAGGACTCCGAAGAGATACACTTTCAGTGAGTCGCGATAGCTGCCATGATAGTGCGGATGGGTCGATGAGAGAGTCATAATGATCGTCGCGGAGAATCGTAAGACACTGGCGTCTTGGTAAGGAATGTTGGAGACATGCCTGTAAAGCCGTCTGATATTTTTGATTTGCGCTCCACAGCGTAGTTTCGGGGGGGTGCTTTACTATCGTGAGCTGTTAATCGTATGGGAACACGCTATAAAGTGTAGCGTGTTCCCATACGATTATATGAAGAATGCTTACTTTATTCGCATCAGCTCGGTTGGATGAAATTTGATACGCTTTTCTTCTTCTCTTCTTCATTGATTGTTGGCGAGTTCGGAACGCTGGTGAAGGCTTTTTTGTCTGCGTGAACAGGCACATGTACTTCTGGACTTCCATTCTGGGCGACTAAATTAGCACTCAATAGACTTGTACCGTCTGCTTTTGGAGAGGCCAATGCGACTGTCAATAAAGAGTGAGAGGCTGAAATACCGACTGAGTGATCGCGGAATGAACTGTGTGTAGAATTCCTTATGCGATAGGGAAACACGGAAATTTGAAAGGTCCTCTCCATACAATATTGTCACGTTCTTTGCGTGCCTTGAGAAATCTTGTCCCCCAAGCCAGTCCACAGGCTTTAAAGTCCACCTTACACTGGTGCTCCATGAAGTTGGTTGTTTCCTTCGAGTCAAGATGAGTCTTTCTGCTCTAGGTTCATAGATTACAGAGTTTTGGTCCATCAAACGGGAATAACACTAGTGTCGTTTCAAAAGAAGGGGCTGCGTTTCGAATCTACTGTTATAGCCGCGAAACATTAGCGCCATTGGAGCTTGCGCCCGACTTCCTCCACCCGTCACCAAATTTTCAGGAGTCAGACGGCATTGGACCGCAAATCAGCGAACACTAAGTACAGCCGGTCCAAAATTTGGCAACACGATCCTTGCCACGTCGTTCCAGCGGATCTGAGCATACAGGGCCATATATAGAACATGGATTTTGCTATCTTTCGCAGTGGCGGCGGCGGAGATCCCACAAATGCAACATGGAAATCAAGAATTGGTTGAAAGTACCTCAGCCTAAGATCCTTAGTGGTACCAGTGTTGTAAGGAGACGCCCTTTACAATGCCTCATCTGGACCTTCCTCGTCGTTCTCTATATTCACTATATCAACCGCCGTCCGTCAGTTGATCTAATCTCTCCAAAACCACCTCCATTAGATAACATCCCGAATAAGATATGGCAGATCTTCTTCAACTACACTCCCATCGACTCCTACACCGACTCCATCCAAACCTGGATCACCAAAAATCAAGACTACAAGTACACGCTCGTCTCCGCCGCCGGCGCCAACGCTTTTGCTCTAAAAAATTATGCCAATCGGAGAGAGATTCTATACCCGTTCCTCTCACTGCACGTCCCCGTGCTGCGTTCCGACCTCCTTCGCTACATGCTACTTGAGTCCGAAGGCGGAGTCTACAGCGATCTTGACACCGCTGCGTTGAAACCTGTCAACGAGTGGATACCATTACATTTGGAATCCAAAGTGCACGCCGTTGTCGGCATCGAGTACGACCAAGGAGAGGGAGAAGCATATCCCGGGATGGAAGGTCCAGGCTTGCAATTCTGCCAGTGGACAATGGCCGCTAGCCGCGGACATCCGCTCATGGCGCGCATAGTCAACGACGTAGTCGACGCACTGCACGCACTCGCTATGAAGAACGAGACGACGATCGCAGAGCTGCAGCCCAGCGACGAAGAAATGGTTCAACTCAGCGGACCCCCCATCTGGACGAGAGCGGTTATGAAGACTCTGTCCGAGGCGACGGGGACTGAGATGAGTTATCGGAATTTTACGGGGATGAAGGAGCCGAGGTTCTTTGGAGATGTCATGGTGTTGCCGGTCAATGGGTTTGGGACAGGGCAGCTGCATCCGGGGAGTGTGAGGAAGGGGTCCAAAGACGCTTTTGTGAGACATGGGTGGAAAGGGAGTTGGAAGCGGGATTGGAGCGACTAGTTTTACTTGGAGGTGGGTGGGATTTGGTGCTGCAAACGTGCTCATTTCTGTCCAACAAGGTACACCAGCCTACCTGAGCGTGAAAAATCCTCCGAATGCCTCCTCATCTCTGCCGTTCAGCCCAGCACCTTACTGCTGGAACATCAATGTTGCTTTGTACGCAACGAATTCCCAGTCGAAATTTTGTTTCTCGGAGTTTTTACAACGTTGAGTGCTAAAATGCTCGAGAAGATACAGGGGTGCTGCCAAGGATAAGCTTAGACAATAGCTTAGACCAAGTTCAACGTATGGAGGTGGTAGAACCGGCTTGTGCGAGGCTATCTGAAATTCGAGACTCAGGGTGAAAGCAAACACATATGAAAGCCAGTCCGCATTGAACTGGATCCTCGGTGCATTTACCCACAGTCAAACCTTCAGACTTTGACACCACTTTTGAAAACCATCCATCGCCGTCGTCTCATGAACACGTATGCGTACCGAAGGCTCACACCTCCAAGGACGAGAGTTAACATGATTGTGAGCTGGGCAGACGGAGTTACCACTGTCGTCTGGAGGCCAGGCTGCTCTTGATTTTCGTCCAGACTTTCAACCGACAGGTGCGGACGGTCTCCGTTACTCTCGTAACTTGCAACGCAAATATATGCCGGATGGCGCTTGCCAGTGCTTGAAGCTTTCCTTGGAGCTTCAACCAGCATTCAGATACACTTTTTTGAATATGTTCCACAGCTCTTGTGTATCGCACGTGCAGTCTATCGATTGCTTGGGCGTGTCGCAAAGGTCTGGTTTCGCGCATGCGGAGCCTTGCGCACCGGTGACGGGAGGTAGCAGCAGGCTGTTACTGCAGGAGGGACTGGTTGCAGTTCAATCGTCGTGGACGTGACCGTTCATAAGCCAGCATGATCTACAGGTCTGGTCACCATACATGATGGGCATTGGGAACAAGCACAAGGCTTTGCGAAGAGCTGAGTCCTGTAGCCTTGTAAACCCCATGCATGGGGCAGTACTGGTTCTGCATGAGGCCTGCATGAAAGCTAGGCCGTATTTGCATCTGGACCTTGACGGCCAATCTACCTCTTATCTCGTGATGGCGATACATTTTTTCCTTCTTCTTCTTCTTCGAATGCACTGCCATAAACGTTGTTGTGAACGAGGACATTAGCAGTCTTGGGTACGACTAGCTACATCTTCCATTCATTGTCATTTTCTGTACTCCGCTCCGGGCCATTTGGCTTTTGATTGTTCCCAGCTAAGAAGACTTATCCACCACAGGGATGTTCTTGGACAGATGTTCTCTATATTCAGGAGTGCACCGCCAGCCACTGATCTGATGCACAAGATCTTCGATGGCGCTTGCCCATCTAATCAAAACATCCTCTTTCCATGCGGTATGGTGCAAAGAAAGACTGAAGGGCAACCCAGCGGAGTCAACACCGATTGGTATACAAATGATGGGATAGCCTATTAAGATTAGATCAGGCTGATAACGGCAATATGACACCATTGTTGGGCAAAGAAGCTGATAAGCAAGTCAAATTTCAAGGCTGTGAGTCTCAATAGGTCAATCAATCTTGAAGAAGGAAAAGCAGAAAACACGAAAACACTCCAGGGTTTTGCTTTATAGAGATCGAAAGAGCTCAGCAATGGTGCATAGACTTTTCGAGATATTTCGGATGACGAGAGAAGATATCGCAATGCTCAACGTACGCACAAAATGAAAGTACTTACCAGCCTGGGCAGCAAGCTGCTGTCCCGCGCCTTTCCGGTCAAACAAGATGAGCGCATCGAACACTGTATTAGTCTTATTGTCCTTTAGCGCAGCGTCGATGCCCTCAGTGCGGCATTTTTGCTGGGTGTAATGCAGGGCTTGGTAATAGGTTTCCGTCGCTTCGCCGCAGCTTTGTAAGATTTGCTGAAAGTTGTTCTATAGATAACGTCAGCCGAGACCAAGCGCTCTGTTCAATAAATGTGAAGCAGGGGAATATTATAAAACATAAGAGTGAAGTAAAGGTGATGGCGTGGCTCACCTGTCCTGTTGGGAATGCTGAGTGGTCACCGGGTTTGGCGCCTTCTGTACCGCTATTCTTTTGATTATACTCGAAGACGTCCTCCAGGGTCTTCATGCGCGTTTCTGAGAGTTCTGATAGATACGCGTTGATCTCCTGGAAAGCCTCGACCTGAACTACGGAAAACTCTGACTCTGACGGCTTGCCGTACGTCCAGTCCCAGTTGCCGTCTCCTGGTATACGATCCTCTGCACAGGGAAAGTCAACCTCGACGACGTCCGCTCCTGCCTCTTGGATAGCTTTAAGGACCGTGAGTGCCGTCTCTCTGATATCTTTGGCGACGAACTCCCAGCACCGTTTGTTTGGGAGGCCGAATCTGGCACCTTTGAGGCTACCCTTTGTCGTCAGGTACTTGGAGTAGTCTTTTCTTTGGGAGCGTGACGAGGAGCAGGTCATGGCATCCCTTTCGTCACTGCCAACGATTGCATTCAGTCCATGGACCGCATCGGCAACAGTCCTACCGAAGCTGCCGACGGTATCCATGCTTTTGCTGATAGGTATAACACCAGCTCTCGAGGTAAGTCCAACAGTAGGCTTAATCCCGACAATGCCATTGATCGATGCTGGTCCAATTATTGACGCGTCGGTTTCAGTCCCAAAGGATACGGGTACGATGTTTGCGGAGACCGCAACTGCAGAGCCTGAGCTGGAGCCATCTAGAATCATATCAGTAGACTGATCATCCGTGACTCGCTTTGTACGAAAGCTTAGGGTGACACAAATCATTTTGGTTCTCCTTGAGACAGGAAATACGCTTGTGGTGCCCTTTCGAGACAGGGCAGCTTTTGAAAACGCTTTTCTGATAGTTCAATGACTCGCAAAGTGGTTTGTTTGCAAAAATAAGCCCATACAGAAGATCCTTCCCATGTATGAAATCCTAAATATGCTATAAGGATACTCTAGCAACCAGCATTCTGACGTCAAGGAAAAGGGGGGAAAGCCATTGTATTTCTGAAATCTCTGCTCGATGCAATATAATAACTTACATGGACTACTGGAAAGATTGTACGGATTTCGCACTTGACCGCCGCGCGGAGAGTACCCGGTGGAGTAGTTCGATGATCGGACCGAAGCCCATTCACTCATATTAGCATGCCCTAAAATGATCGCCCCTGCGCGACGCAAAAGCGAGACTACATGGGCATCTCTGGGGACCTAGACCCCCTATGACTCAGCATTTCTTTTCCTTGAGATTACCTTCAGATTTGAAACCAGTGTCAAGATGTGTACATACTTGACGCCTCGACACTGTTCACCAGGGGAGACATTGAGACGGATTGAACACTCACAATACTTCCAAGTAAAGCCCATGAGCCGGCCGTTGTTTGCATTTTGTCCTTTGTAGCCATGTTATCTTTGACTAGAATTGGTACGCCATGTAGTATGCCTCTAGCTTTACCCTGTAGAAAGTTTCAGAGTCAGCGATTTATCGAGAATCGACCCGATTTGCTTTTTCTAAAATCACACCTCTTGTCTCACAATGTTAAAGCTCGAAACTTCAACCTACTTGGCGTCTTTCGTCGTCCAATTCTGCAGCAATCTTAGTAGCGTCTGGGTTGATTTCGATGATACACTCGAGGTAGGGGTTGACGTTATGTATACGTTGAAGGCAGAATTCGACATAGTCAACAGACGTAAAATGACCCTCTGAGAGATGTTGCTGTATCTCTTCCATAGAGCACTCATACAGGTTGAGACCTTTTAGTTCTTCAAGGCGGAACAGAGGCGATATATCGTGCTGGGAAAGATCGTGATGTCGGCGAACCTCAGTTTCGGTCCGAACCGTGTTATGTGCTTTTGGGGAGAGGAAATATGTTCTCACGGACCGAAGCATTGCTGATGTCGAATTGGAATCCCAGTCTTCACCTCAAAGTTCTCCAGATCGCTGGCTGGCTGAATGAAATAAGGAGCAGGGAAGAATATGCGATGCGCTGGGCTGTTGCGCTCTGGAATAGATTTTATCTCGAGAATTATCAAGCTCCATTCCCCGCATCGAGAGCATCTGACTTCAAGCTGACAGTGACGTAAGGTTCACGCTAGACTCAGCCAAATCGGCGGTAAAGGAATGTCGCCGCGCCCGAACAGCGGGCAGCGGGCAGCGGCCCCAAGGTAAAATATATACCCAGTACCTTACGGGCGTGCCTGCAAAGGCGCACACCGTGCTAGCTTAGAGGTACGAGTAGACGATTTCAAACCTTTCGGAAGATGAGAAAAGTGAATCACGTATCTACGAGGACGCATGACTGTAAATGATTACCTGCTTGTGCTGCATTCTCCTGACCTGCGCCTCTGCGGTCGAAGAGAAGGAGCGCATCAAAGTCTTTGTCGGCCCCACTTCCTTTCAATGCCTCGTCGATGCCATCAGCGCAGCCGGTGTGCTGAGCGTATACCAGCGCCTTGCGATAAGTCTCGTCCGACCCACTGTGGCCCTGCAGGACTTCTCGAAAGTTTTCCTGTCCTGTTGGGCAAGCTGATTGATCACCAGGATTCGCACCTTCTGTGCCGGCGTTCTCGTAATTGTATTTGATAACGTCCTCCAAGTGATTTATTCTGTTGTAGGCTTGCAAGCGTAGGACCGCTTGCCCACACGTCTATGACCCCAGTTAAACATCCTTTCCAGAAAAACAGCGGAGTATTGATACGGTCACTTTGTCGCATAGCCTTTTTATCCCGACAAAATATGTGCTATTGTTACGAGGCTAGCCGGCAGCGAAAAGCTTGCCGAGACTGTAGAAAGATTATTTTCTAATCATATCTGATCAATTCCTTAAGAGCTCTTTAAGATCTCCTAAAAGATTGCTATTAATAAATATACCCAGCACCCTTTAAATCCCGATTGTTTATAATTCGCCATTTCACAAAAATATAATAAAAGATTAGAAAAAGAAAATCATGGAGTAAAGAGTATGGTTTTTATTGAAAAACATTCTTCTATTGGCGTGCCCGAACGACATCCAAGCGGTGATCTGCCTGCTTCCGACTCTTCTGTGAGCAGCTTCCAGGTCCTCTTGTTGCGTAGCATATATGAGTAGCCTTGTATGCCTGGTCTGCCACATCCGTCTGACTGCATAAGCCAGTCGGTCTGGAGCCATCCAGCAAGCCAAGATAGGCACGGGACTTATCCCACCTGTTCAGCCTCGTGCTTCTATGCAAGGCTTCGTTTTCCCCACTTCCAAGAGATATATATCCACAGTCTGTCATTCTACGCCCTCCGTGCCAAAAAAGTCTGCATAAACTTCGAAAATTGATTACTCTTGACAAAGAAGCCAAAATGGTGTACAACGAACTTAGACCAGCTCTGTTATTCCTCACACACGCACTACCTATCATCTCCGCACTCGGCATCAACTGTAGAGGCTCCATCCTCTGTGGTCGGGCATCTCTTAGCAACCAACAGTCCGTGGGCATTATTCAAATCCTTCGAGACGTTATCTGGGCTTCTCCCATGTCTAACAGCACCACCTATGCCTCTGGCGACCACGTAATCTGTCTTTCTCAGTCTCAACCTATCGATTTTAACTTCGGTGCGGAGGTCGATGGCATCAGCGGCGGCATCGGTCTCCCTATCAACAGTCCGCAAGGCGGCATCTGTCTCTTTCCCCAATACCTGACAGTCACGAATTTGAACCTAGGACAAATACGGCCGCTCGTTGATGCCATACTCGAACATGGATGTGGGCCTTGCGGCAGCGTTCCTATTCATTTCGTGGACCAAGGGAGCAATGATCCTAGCGATGGGATCCTGACATTCAATTACGTGCAGAGCCCTTTCTGCGTTGGCAATTGTATTTCTGATACTGGGTCGCTGCCATCGTCTTCTACAGCGTCTTTTTCCTCCTCAACAACTCCCTCTCCTTCGGCGGCGGCTTCTTCTTCTTCGACGACTTCCTCTTCCTCCTCAGCAACTCCCTCTCCTTCGGCGGCGGCTTCCTCTTCTTCTTCGACGACCTCCTCTTCCTCCTCAACAACTCCCTCTCCTTCGGCGGCGGCTTCTTCTTCTTCGACGACTTCCTCTTCCTCCTCAACAACTCCCTCTCCTTCGGCGGCGGCTTCTTCTTCTTCTTCGACGACTTCCTCTTCCTCCTCAGCAACTCCCTCTCCTTCCGCCGCGGTTTCCTCTTCAACGACGACTTCCTCTTCTTCGACGACATCCTCATCCTCCTCAACCCCTTCTCCTTCCGCCGTGGCTTCCTCTTCTTCCACGGCGACTTCTTCAAGGATCCCCACATCGGCCAATGGACCGACGACTGTAACCAAAGCTCCACCTACTACCGTTACTGAAACAGGGCCGTCCGCGACGGTGACGTCGAGTTCGAAGTCTACGGGCAGTCGCTTGCGTGGTTGGCGTTGTGGTATAGGGACACCAATCCTTGTCATACTGTCATACATGGGATGAAAAAAACCCCGAGAAAATTTCGAAGACTCTTACGGTATATAGAGTACGTCTTTCGGGCTTTTGCTATAGTGCTTCATTCCGCGTCCGGTACCTCTTTTTATACAGTGACCTAACGTCATAGTCACGAATAACCCTAGATTTAGAAGCCAAGACCATCCTGGTCTTCTCCCATTCTTCCTTCGAGTCGAAATCTATCGTGGATCAACTTAGCTCTGTCAGATTTCACCATGTATTTCCTACATGCCACCCATTCAACCTTCTTGGTCTGCCTGTCAGGCGTTAACACTCCCGCCACACCCAACCTCGACCCTCGCTTCACTAATCCTACTTAATTCATATTATTATTCAAATATATCATATCAACATCTATCTCCTTCAACTTCTCTTCGACGATTGTGACCTTCTTAGGACGGAAGATTATGGGAGGTGCTTCGCAGCTGGCTTCACGGTTGCTGGGATAGGATCCTGAACTGGTATTCCGATTGCTGGGGAGAATTTGAAGAGGAATGGGGGCAGCTATGTGGTGTTGGTCATCTCCGGAGGGGCAAGCTATGCTGTTTGACTGGTGCTCTTTGTTTCGGCTAGGATTAGAGCTGTGTGGCAGAGATGGGGGAAGGAGAATGTATTCTGAAATGAGCAGGTGTAGATTGGTATCATTGTAAATAATAGGGTATCTATACACATGGAATCCTGATCATAACTCCATCTAGCGCCTGGACATGCATGCAAGGGCCTCAGCTCTCACTCGTCGTCTTCAAGAGATCCCGGCACAGGTGCACCGGGGGTTTAGTTGTCGAGGCTGAGACAGACCGGACTCCCTTGTCGGGCACGAGCAGAAGCAATGCATTGCCCGTTTTGCAAACTAGGCGCACACGGAGTCTGTAACCCTCTCCATCCAATGGCGGGGCCGACTTCTGTCCCTCTCTCGGCCAGGTTCTCAACTCATCTTCTCGTACTCTCGCTCAGCTTCCAGTTCTTCTACATTCTCCACTACCTGTTGTTCTTGGCTGGTGGAGCTGGTTCCTTCCTAGCTGATGCTGCTTCTTTTTGGGCTTGCGCTGCTTTCTCGTTCGCCTCTACCGCTTCTTTCTTAGTAGACGCTTCTTGCTTCTTTGCGGGCTTTTCCTCGTTCTTAGCGGGCCTCTCTTCCTTCTTGGCTGACTCCCCTTCCTGCTTCGCTTGTGCCTTTTCCTTGGCTTTATCCACTGCGTTCTTCTCTATCACCGCATCCTTCAACGTCTCCTCTGCCGGATGCGAAGATGGCTGTCCGTCTTTTCCTGACTTCGACGCCACCTGAGCCATGATACCCTCCACCTTCTTCATCCCCATCGACACCTCGGTCGCATTATCCGCGCGCCGCGAGTAGTACATCCATAATTCGGACTTCGCAATCTGCAAGTCACGTGAATTGTCCCCTGCACTATCAACATCCATCATCGTCTTCTTGGCCTTCTTCAACAAGGCCCAGTAATCCTCCACCTGTTTAGGAAGCTTGGTCTTCTCGAGCTCCACCGCATACTCCTGCGGCCTATTCTCCACAATATCCAACCATCTCCCCATCACCGTTCCCTTACTCTCCGGCTGCCCACAACAATCAACTCCAGCAAAATGCAACGTGAATGCGTCAGTGTCATACGGTTCCCTCGCGAGCCCGAACGCATTCCACCAATCGTGCGGTTGATAGATCACATGTTCCGCATATCCTTCTCTTTCCATTACCCACCATAGAGCGCCTTGGTCGTAATGCTCGAAATGGGCGTCAGGTCGTAATTGGCGCAAAGCAAGAGTTTCCGAGAGCATTTGTACCGACCATTCATGCACACGGAATATTGCCATGCCGGCGTTGAAACCGTTGAAGTCTTTGGTGGCGAGGAGGTGGATGTCGTTGAAGTCAGAGGGGGGAAGGAAGAGAGTCCAGGGGACGGCGGGATTGAGGATTATCGTGTCGGCGTCAAACCATCTGTAATGGATCATATGTGTTAGGCACATTGGATGGTTGATAAACACGAGAAGGTCTGAATACGTACACAATCCAACCGGCCCGCTTGCCGTAGGGTTTGGCCATCTCCTCAATGATGAGGCCCAGAATGTAAGCGGGCTTATTGAAGAATCCTGCTTCAACAATATCGTGTCGCAGTATATGCGTAGGCACTCCCCACTGCTCCCCATGCTTGATATGTGTATCTATGCTCCTTTCGTAAATGGCATTGAACCTCTCGGTTTCGTATATCATGGTCGCCTGTCGCACCCTTGGACCCCCTTCATCTGGATCATCGACGATGTCTCCAGAGATATGGTTCTCAGCAATCTCAGGCGTACTGTCCGCAGATAGTTTCGTAGCAGTTGGACTGGCATTGTGTGGGGCTTTCGCTGGAGGGGCGCTCTGTGGGATCTCGGTTGCGGTGGCATTATTCGGTGGTCTGTTCGTGAAGGAGAAGCTCGCGCGAGAAGGCGCATATGGATGAAAGATGTAGAGACTGCCAATGACAGCGAAGAGGAGGATGAGGGCTCGAATAGGTGAGGAAATTTGGGCGATCATGGTGGGCGTCGAGGCGGCCTGGCGTGAGGAGAGTGAGCAGGGATGAGGTGTCGTTAAGTACGGCCAGAAGTGCGGGCGAATTCGGGCGATACAGTCAGGCGAAAAGAAGGTACATTCTATTTGAGCGAAGTCTCGGAGGAAAAGGAGATGAGTTGGGATAAAAAGATGTATGAGCTCGCATGGTGAAAAGTGAAAAGTGGCAGATACATTTCGTCTCGTATTTTGTGTAACTGTGTTAAATGTAAGGAGTCGTAAGCAGTGAGCACACCAACACCTTTCGTGCGAATTGCGCCGAGTAAAGTAGTTACTCGTATAATCCAGAAGTGAGTTCTTTGATAGAGTGAGGACACCAATAGATTAACCGATATTCGGCTAAGTGGAAGGATTTATTGGTGTCCTCGCTCTATCAAAGAACTCACTCCTGGATTGTACGAGTAGGGTTGGTGTAGCCGACAGGCTTGGCTTAAAGTAGCTTAGCATCCAACTCTAAAGTACTTTACTTGCTAGAAAACCTTGAATTTATATATATAGCTAATTATTAATTTAGAATTACTACGCTCTTTAGTTAGATCAGCTAAGTCAGCCCGCTAGCCCTCTCGAGCTCTCTTATTAAAAATTTGTATGTAGAAGTTTTATACTTTGAAGTACTTAGCTTGCGATACATATAGTTACTTTATAATTTCTTAAATTATAGAGCTCGCTTTACGCTTTCTAACGCTATAAAAATTATAAAGTTTAACCTACTATTAATGAAGCGAAGTAGCATTTAAATATAGTCACACGAAACGCGTCCGAGATCGAATAATCCTTTCACCTATTTATATAATTATTCTTCTTTCATCATTCTATTAATTCTATTAATTCCACTAATATAAATATAATTATTCTCGATATCCCTCGCGGAAACGTTACTAAACGCTTTAGGCATATATACCCCTTTTACCCGCCTCTTAGAGTCTCTACTAATATTCTTAGCTTACCTAGCTATACCGCGCGTTATCTATATATCATCTATTTATAAACGCGTTAAAAGACTTTTTAAAAAGAGCTCGAACGAATTTATAGCTATCGTTCTCCTTTATATACTTCTCTTAAGTTAGCGATACTACTAATCGAAAAGATATAGTATAATATGAAATATTAATCTATTATACTATACTCTAATATAGTATAAGTTATTAAGATTTATAGAATTCCATATCTAATATAATATAGGATCTTGGCGATATATACTACGATATGATATATCTATGGAATTATACTATAATATAATATATATATAAGATATCTTAGTTAAGATTTCTATATTTAGAAGTAGCTATTCTAATTATTATTCTAATTAATAATTACGCTAAATTAATAAAATATAGAATTAAATATAATTATATTTTATTACTTTATATATATAAAAGAAAGCGAGCTATATCTACTAGTAATAAGAAAAGCTTATCTTCCTCTAATATCAGCTACGCGAAATCCGCTAGCACTTTATAATTAAAATTATTAACGATAATTTTATACGCTTATTACGTATTTTCGATATCGCTATTTAATATAAAATTATATATATTATAATTATAGCTTTCTTATTAAATCGCCGATCTAGGAAAATTAATATATTTCTTAATATTCTCTTAAAAGTATTATAGCTTAATATAATAAGCTATATTTCTTTAAGCTATCTTCTCGCGATATATAAAAAAAAGATTAAATATAGAAAGTATATAAAAGTATATTTAATAATTTTAGAACGAATTAGCGATATTTATAATAATAATTAAAATTAAAAATTAGATATACTCGAATAAGAGATAACTTTACGCTACTCGTATAATAGCGATAATAGTAATTAAGATTAAAATATCGACTTAGATAACGTAGCTTTCGTAGTAAGCTTTTTATTACTATATATTAGATTAATTATATATAAATAAAGATTTATAATTCTATCTTTTAAATATAATTACGTTTAATATTTTAAGATTTTTATAATAGTTTAATACTTATTAATTAGCGCGTTAATATTATTATATCTAAGCTATAATAGCGTTTATTATTAAGTTTTATATTATACTCTTAAGTAGTTTAAAAGATAGAATTTACTTAATTATTAGCGCGTATAATAGAATTATTCTTAATATTTATATCTTATTTAGCTTCGATATTATTTATTTCCTTCTAATTCGAGCTCTTATCTTTATCTATATATATAATAATTTATATAATAAGCGAAACTCTAAACTTCTTCGTAATTACGCTCGCGTATTTTTTTTATATAATACTATTAAAATATAAGTCTATTAGAATAATAACTAGAATTAAAAATTACTTATCGCTTATCTATTATATTTTATCTAATCTATTTAAGAGTTTACTTCTATTATAATAATAATATATCGATATATTTAACTTTACGCTTTTTAATAATTATAGCGTAATTAATAATTAAGATATCGGCTTTCTTTACTTTTTTAATTAGCTTCTTTTTAAATATAAATATATTTATTCGCTATCGCGATTTTTTAGTATTTTTATTTTAGTTAAGCTTATTATCTATTTTTTATTTTAATTAAAAATTTAATTATCGTCTAATTAACCTATATTAAGACTCTTTAATATCGCTATTATTATTAATATTTAATATTTATTATAATAAATTATTAGACTTAGTTTCTTCTACTTTAATTACTATAAAAAGATAAATTAATAAATATATATAAAAGAATTAAAGGGCTTATATAAATATCTACGAATATTAAGCTATTCTTAATTTTAATTAAAGCTCGTTTTATTAAAAAGTATATTAATTCTAATAAGTATCGATATTAGAAATAAAGAGGATATATATCGTATATTATTATAAGTGTATTATTATAGAGTCTAACTTAAAGAATAATTATTTCTATAAAGATAATAAGACTTAAAGATAAGAAAGTAAGAATAAAATATATAAAAATTTTAATAAGTTATAATAGTTTAATATTAGTTAAATTAGATAAAGATAATTACTTACTAGCTCGCTCTCTTAAATCTTTTATCTTTTAATCTATATAGACTATAATAATAATTATAATTATTATAAAAGTAGCTAAGATTATATTAAATAATAATACTTAATAAGCGTAATTCGCTTAAGCTTAAATCTTTAAAATTAAAGAGAAAGTATTTTATTAATATCTAATTTAAGCTAGATAATTTAAAATAATCTAAAAATTTAATATACGCGATAGATATCTAAGCTTTTCTTCCCCTCTTCTTTCTCTCTAAGACTTTCTTTTTTATATTAACTCTTCTTATTATTAAATTATCTTCTTTATATATTAGACTTCTATTTAAATAATCTAATATTATTATAACGATATTAAAAGTATAACGTAGTCGTTAAATTATATATTTATTCTTTATTTTTTAATAACTTTAAATTAATACGTAGATAAATCGCGTAAAGAGCTTAATTTATATACACTTAATCTATTATTAATAGCTCTTTAAAAAAGTTAATACTATTTTAGAATACTAAGTATAGTATTAAAGTAAAGTCTTTATTAGATACTATTATCGCTTTAATCGCTATCGTTATCGCTTTAATAAATACTATTCTTACTTTAATAAATATCATCTTTATTTTAATAATATTAAGACGTCGATAGAAATTAGATAGTATATTCTTCTAATTATTATTATACTTATTATATATAACTAACGCGAGCTATAGCTTAAACTTTACGCGAGATTTATCGTTATTAAAAGTTAACTAATTTTATAATCTTAAAGCTTCCCTTTCAGCATCTAATTTATTAAATTATACTTAATTAAAATTCGTTAAAGCGCTATCGTATTTAAAGATTTATTCTTAAAATATTATATAAGATAATAGAAGTCTTTTTAATTCGTTAATTTAAGAGTAAGTCTCTTATTACTACGCTTTATAATTAGCTCTAATAATCTTTATTTAAATAAATACTTATCTTTATATAATATATAAAAAGCGAGTTATATTATAGAAAAAGAATTTAAATCTCGCGATAATCTTAATTAAGTTATTTAAATTAAAGATAAAAGTATACTTATCTTTATATAATTTAATTACTAAATTAATTAATTATTATAAATATAATTATAAGATATAATTATATATTATTAATTATCTAAATAATTAAAAAAAATATAAAAGAAATAAAATTATATAATTAAGTACTTATAAACTTTTCTCTTCTAAATATTTATTTTAATTTAGAGTTTAATCGCTATTTAATTAAAAAAAAGATAAAATATAAAAAATATATAAAAGTATATTTAATAATTCTAGAATAAATTAACGATATCTATAATAATAATTAGAATTAAAAATTAAATATATTTAAATAATAAATAGCTTCGTATTATTTATATAATAATAAGAGTAATAGCTAAGATTAAAATTTAACTTAGATAATATAACTTTTATAATAAACTTTTTATTACTATATATTAAATTAATTATATATTAATAAAGATTTATAATTTTATCTTTTAAACGTAATCGCGTTTAATATCTTAAGATTTCTATAATAGCTCGATACTTATTAGTTAACGCGTTAATACTTTTATATTTAAATTATAATAGAGCTTATTATTAAATTCTATATCGCGTTTTTAAGTAATTTAAAAGATAAAGTTTACTTAATTATTAGCGCGTATAATAGAATTATTCTTAATACTTATATCTTATTTAATTTTAATATTATTTATATTCTTATAATTCGAGCTTTTATCTTTATTTATATATATAATAATTCGCGTAATAAGCGAAACTCTAAACTTTCTCTAAATTATACTCGCGTATTTTTTTTATATAATACTATTAAAATATAAGTTTATTAGAATAATAACTAGAATTAGAAGCTATTTATCGCTTATTTATTATATTTTATCTAATTTTCTTAAAAGCTTACTTCTATTTTAATTACGATATATTAATATATTTAACTTTATACTTATTATAGACTATAGCGTAATTA